TTCTTATTGACTTAATGGTTTCAATACCACTACAAAACGTTGTGAAACAAGAAAAATAACTTTAAAAAATATTGATAATTTTACCTTGATATGTTTTTCAGTTTTGTTTTCCTGTGAAGTCAAGATTTTCAGTAGACTATAACTGCAGATTTTTTATTTTATAGATAGATTTTTTTTAATAGGAACCAGTTTTGAAATTGATGAGCCATTTTTACCAGTTGACATTTTAACATAAAGTTGCATCAAGTCCCGCTCAACTTTTAATTCCGACCCAGCCAAGTTTTCTCCAATGCGGTTTGTCGGAGCCTGGACCAATGGACACGATGTTCCTTTTATTCACTCAGCTTTATAATCTTTACATTTATATCTAGAATAGATAAGAACCAACTACGTCCGCCTGTGCAGTGTCCAGGGCTTGGTGGAGGGGTAAAAAAAATCAATAGGACTTTAAAATTCACCAACTTATAAAAAATTGCGTTAAATCGAGGTTTTTAACATTAAAACTGTTAAAACTGTCCTAATCGTGAAAATAGACAAACCGCAAACTAACTGGTTATTATTTTTCAAAATTTTCAATTTTCCTTTGGGTGTTTTATGCCAAACTTGAAACATAAATTTCTAAAACACAAAGAAAAACTTTTTTTCTAACAATTTGTTTATTTTTATTTTGTATATCTTTTATTGGTACTATAATTAAATTAATAGCCGTTCTAAAAAAATCAAAATGGAACTTAAATACTATTTAATTAATTTTTACATCGAAATATTAGCGCATCATTCACGATTTTGTAATATTGCAAATGCTGTTTTTTTTTTGTTTTGATAAATCACCTACTGAGATATCCAGCGATTTTGACACCGAAGGTCAAGAAACAACATTGATACTGTCTGGTCTGCAACAAAAAACGAGGTCGAGTGTCGATGATATGAGATTTTTTGCCCGATAGCCCACTTAGTGAATTAAGCGAAACCAGGTGTACACATAAATACTAAATAGTCAATAATCCTGCAACTAGCATGTAGCAGAGTTAAAGCCCAAGACAAATAATATTTGCGAAGAAATCACCGCCAAAGATGATTGTTTTTCTGCCGAGTAGTTAGGTCATGTTTATCTTTTTTAAAAAGATAAGTCTTGGAAAAACAATGAAAGATATCGTTTTCCTCCAACAGAAAATAAACTATCTTGGTTATAAGAAAATTGTAAAGTACAGTATATCAACTGTAGATGAATCCCCGTAGAAAGAAGGTCAGAAATAGGTTATATACATTATAATCGTTGAAGGAAATATCAATATTGATGAAGTTAGAGCAATGATCTAAGAATAGCGCTGTCTGAGAGATGTCCTTAAAATTCGAATAAGCATTAAGTAAAAGTAAGATGAGTTTGAAAATTTTGCAATGGTGGTAGGGCCATAACTAGACAGCAGACTGACATGGAATCCTCACCCAAGACTTACGAGACAACAACTCAACAGAAGACTTGGACAACTACGAAGACTTCTAGGACCGAAATCTGTCTTGACCGTCAAAACTAAACTAACCTTAGAGAATACTTTACTGCGACCATTTTGGACATAGGAGTGGAATTGTGGGATTCTGCCAAGTTGACTAGCATCCAGCGCATCCAAACAAAAGGCCTTAGACAAATCGTCAAAACTCCTTCTACGCCATTTATTATCCACAATGACATCAACATTCTTTGCCAGCGTACTGATATGTTCCCGATTTCAAAAGTTTCTCACCAACCTGCCAATCCATCATAACCTTATTGCTCGAGTCCTAGCTACACATTCCTAACGTGAGAACCCTCCTCATCCCTAGACCCTTTTTAGGTGGATGTTATTGTGCTCTTCTTGGTAATGTTGTTTGTGCCCCACACCCTATAATTTTTTTTGGTTTTTATGGTCCTCATAGATGTTACAAAAATATTATAAAAATTCAGTGTAAAATAATATTAGCAGACTCTACGTTTTTAACATGTCTTATGTGGTAGGACACAATTCATCTGAGCAACCTACTATCACTGCGCCCATTTTTTGAATATGTCCTCCCTCATACGACACGTTAGATTTTTTGGGCAATAAATTGGTTTTTGTTAACATAATAAAATCTCTTTTAATAAATTTCTATTTTTTATTATTTAAACTATTTTATACACATTTAAAAAAATACTTTGAATTAACAGTTAACAAAAAAAATTGCTTCATACACATTAAAAATTTATATTTACAAATACGCACTTATAGTTATTTACAAACAAATTTTTGACCATTAACCATTTTTAACCATAATTTGGAAACAAATTTACATGAAAGTATATAAAACGTGGTGTAATACGAAGATATTGATTTGAAGATCAAATTGGATGGATAATGCTCTATTGGCTCATCCAGTTCCATAGATGATGATGGCTTGTCATTTATTTTAATCTTTTTTTCTCCTTCTTTATATTGTATCTTATTTAATCTTATTTATTCTTTATTTACCTATTTACGATCGAAGCGTCCAAAAAGGGGTAAAGCGCTTTTAACCATCAACGTTTCGACTTCCACTGGGTGGAGTAAGAGGACATATACTGGTCAAAAAGGTGTACTCCACCCATGTGCGCATTAAGTTATTTATAGAATCCGGACAATTTACTTCCACTTCATTCCCACCTTTGTATTCACATAGCATTTTTATAAAATTCAAAGGGGCGCCCATGTAACACGCATACACACTTTGAGCCTATATCTTTCCATTTGACAAGGCCAAAATCTTTTGTACAGCAGTGATCAATTTCACCGTCCTTTATAAAAGATGTTGAAGGGAAAAATTATTTTGGAGAACACTAACGCTTCCGAAAAAACCTTTAGATAATAATTTTTTATTAAGTTAAAAGACGAAAGTCGAAAAATAAAGAGCCCAAATTTTCAAATGATTTGTCAAGGTCGAACATCACTTCCTCTCCCAATGGCATGGTTTTTGGTGATGATCTTCCTGAATATAAATCAAATGTCAATAAATAACCGGTGACGGAACAACATATAGCCCACCCTTTAAAGACTCTTTTAATGGGCTTTAATGACATGTTTTGTTTTAAACTTTTTCGCCCTTTGAAAGTTATCATGCTTTCATCTATCGCTAAAAATCTACTAGGACTAAAAATTTCTAAAATTTTTTTTAGAAAAATGCTGCAAATTCGGACGTATTACACACAGTTTGTAGAAAGTTGGCTCACATCTTTGTGGCATTTTTGAATTGCAGTTTAGATGCAAAAATAGTATAATTAAAAATAGTATAAAAAATAATAATAAAAGTAGTATAAAAATAATAATAAAAATATAAAATAGTATATAAAAAAATAGTATAATTTTTAGGAATCTGGAAGGGACGTGATATTTGAAATGCGGGAAACTTGGAAATTTAAGTATAAATAATCGGAGTGATGAAAGTGGATGAAACCCAGAGATAATGATTATTCAAAAGAATGCCTGCAACTCTTGGTTAGAAAGTCTAAGAGCATGACCTTTCTTTGCTTAAGATTTAAGTTATTGAAAAATATTGAAAATATATTTAAAATATTTTCAAGATCCATATGAATTTTTAGACGGTTGATTGAAGACTGTTTTCTTATAATTAAATATCTTCTCGCCTCTTGAGTCTTTATTCCAGTTGGGATACTTAGGTGTACTCTTCACCATCCCTCTATGATGACGATTCATTTGCATCTTGATCTCCGACTATTACTTGAAATAGGCAGAAGAGTGACGTTTTCGAAGATGGTTTCGTTGTCTTCTTCTTCCGATGACAATCCTAAATAAATAAAGTAAAGTATTAAAGATAAGCGAAATTAATAGGATCAGATGAGGCTGAATGTGTTTGTTTTTGTCTTCCAAAGTATAGGATCAAGGATCTCCTCTGCCCAGTTTCTCTGCTTTTTCATACCCAAAATTCCTTTCAAGTTGTATTTACCAAAGTTTTGAAGATTTTTTTCCCATGATAATGCTTTAATAGCTTAGTTGCATAGGTATGTTCTTCCGTTTCTGCCTCTTCTAGACATTACACTTTACTTATTCCCACTAGCTCCGGCATGAACATAAAAAATAATGTTGACATGATGTTGAAAATAATGATGTTAAAATTCTAAGTTAAATTAAGTAAAACTTTCTTTATTGCTGGGTTTTTTCTTTCTTTCTTTTCTAATTTTTCCACCACCATACACTTATACACTTGCATACTTAGTAAGAATTATGAATATCTTGTCTTGGTGTTTCAAAAATTAGCAAATATTGTTGCAGAATGAAATAGTACACCGCGCACTTCCCTTGCCACTATTAAAATTAAATTTAATTAATTATTTTAATTGTTATTATTTGTATCGTAATTCAAAAGAAGGGTGTTTGAACCAAGGATTTCTATTCACATAAAGTGTGGTGCTAATCTTGTGGTGTCTTAGCGAGGTTGTTAAACAATCTGTATTCTGCTGTTTTCTTATGATTGTGATAGAGTGGGGGACGCGGTAATTCTGGGAAAATTTCATTGATCATAGGCGGTTTTATTTAACTCAGAGGAAGTCGTGAATGAGGATTTTCTAGGATGGATTTGTGATTCGGCATTCAATATTGGAAAGGAAGTTTATTATTGAGGATGATAACGAAGGAAAGGGAAAAATAAACACTTTAAACATTTTAAAAATAAACATTTTATGTGATTATGAAATACTTGGTTCAAAATTTATATTTACATCTTAAATTGTATTTTTTCCAATCAAAATATGTTTTTGTAATTTACCCAGGCCTGAAGATGACTCGAATAAAGGTCGAAAATTCGGCAAACGTATGAAAAAGGTGTATTTCTAAGCTACCTCATTCTTGACCGCTCCTCACGACTTCAACAAATTATTCAAAAGAAGAGGGAAACTTTAGTACCGTCCATCGTGCGCGCGCTAGAGTTTCGAGTCAGTGCCATTACGATTGAAGATCAGTCGAAAACATAAGTGTTCATTTAAATAAATTATTATTACCTTTTGCGTTATGAAATATTACGGATGTGACTTTGGTCCGTGTAAATTCGTTTCAATCCCAAATAACCGGGCCGAAATCAATTTTACCCCGATATTCGGTCGAAACGGTCACGGAAGTTGGTATGAATCCTTGCGGCGTGTTGTTGAAAATTTACAAACTTGTGCTTGTTTTTATTTACATCGTTTAATGTTTAGCGGATGCGTTTGTGTTTGAAATAAGTGCGAATGCTGCCGTCCTCCGCTCGGTGCCGTGTCTCTTCTCGACAATTCCGTCCGTCGACAACACAATTTTAGATGTTCGGAGGCGATGAACGCGACGAATCTCTACGTGTCGACGTCTCGGATCATATTCTCGGCGAAGGCGGACGACCCGTCGACCTGGGCGGACCTCCACGGCCTCTTCTCCGGCCTCCGTCAGTCGCTCTCGTGCACCGTCTGCGGTGAGCTCCTCGTCGAGCCATATACCCCGACGGAGACGACGTGCCAGCACCACGTCTGCCGTTCGTGCAAAGGAGGGAAGAAGAAGTTGAACCCTTCGTGCAGCTGGTGCAAGGACTACGCCAAGTACGTCGAGAACGTCCAACTGAGGACGCTCCTCCAATGCTACAAGAAACTTTGCTTGTACCTCGGCTGCTCGGAGGTGTACAGGATGCTCGTCGCAGAACCGGCCGGGGGCGGCGATCACTTCAGGCGACTCGTCAAAGAAGGCTCCCTGTTCAAAGACGACTTCCAAATCCCGACCGATTCGCTGTCTGCCAAATTGATCCTGAATCCCTGCAAAAGTGCCTCGACCCAGACCAACTTGGACGGGAGGGACGAACGGGCGAAAAACGACCTCATCATCAACGGACGATCGCCAACCTATTCCGTGATTTGTGCCGACGACGGCAATAGGCTCACTATTAAAAGGACGGAGAAAGGGGTTAATAATGTTGATAAAAGAAACGGAAAAACCGCCTCGAAAGACAAAGTAAATAATTTATCTAATCATAATTATTAATGACATTTTATTATGTTGAAAAACTTTTTAAATTTTTTTTTCTAAATAAAAACAAAAAAAATATATTTTTAGTTATTTACACAACACAAGTTAACAGAAATATAGTGTCATTTTTTCTCTGCATTTTATTTTATTCTACTAGTTGGTGATTCTGACATAGGTCAGTTTTATTATCTCAGTAGCCGCCTTACTAAAGTATAAATTTACAGAAAAAATAAAGTATCTACAAACTTAGCAGATTTGTCTTCATATTGAATAAATATTACAGTTCAATTAATTATACTTGTAATCTATGGTCTTACTGGAGATGAAATAGTGTCACGATTCGAACCCACGACCTTTCGAATTTACCCTTTTTTTTGCAATTTTTCAAATGTCAGTTGTTAGCGAAGTGATTACTTCTTTAATTATTATATTAATCCATACATGTCTAGAAGTCATAATTGACCATATTAATTATTTCAATTAATTATTCATACTCTCTAAGGTCTTGGTTGAGATGAAAAAGTTAGTGTCGTGAGGGGATTTGAACCCATGACCTTTGGCTCAATTCGCCTCTGCTCTAACAACTTGAGCTATCTTGATTTTGATCATCTCGAACACCAACTCCTCATCTGAACCGATAACTTTTCAAATTTTCCTCTTGTGCTATTTTTTCAAATATCGTCTAATCGGGATTCAATTCTCAGCAACCTATGAAGTGGCCACGGGGAGTATTTAGCGAAGTGATTACTTCTTTAATTATTATATTAATCCATACATGTTTAGAGGTCATAATTGACCATATTAATTATTTCAATTAATTGTTTATCCTATTTAAGGTCTTGGTCGAGATGAAAAAGTTAGGATCACGAGTGGGATTCGAACCCACGATCTTTGGCTCAATTCGCCGCTGCTCTAACCACTTGAGCTATCATGACTTTGATCCATTCAAACTCCAACTCCCTCATCTCAACCTACAACCTTTCGTATTTTCCCTCTTCTTACCATTTTTGAAATGTCGAGTAATCAGGATTCGATTCTAAGCGATTTATGAAGTGGCCACAGGGAGCTGTTAGCAAAGTGATTACTTTTTTATTTATTATATTAATCCATACATGTTTAGCGGTCATAATTGACCATATTAATTATTTCAATTAATTGTTCATTCTACCTAAGGTCTTGGTTGAGAGGAAAAAGTTAGTATCACGAGTGGGATTCGAACTCACAACCTTTGGCTCAGTTCGCCGCTACTCTAACCACTTGAGCTATCACGACTTTGATCCACACGAACACCCAACTCCTCATCCCAACCTACAACCTTTGCAACTTTGCCTAGAAAGTAATGCTGTAATGATTGTAACTCCTTTCGATTACAAATTGAGCAAGACATTTGAGAATTGATGAGTATTTTTTATTTTTGATACAGATGGTTATATTATTTATGTTGCATATTCTAATCTGGCTTGATCTCAAATTATCAATGTTCATTCGCAAATACAGGTAGTGCTCACCAAAACCCAGATTGCTAATACTTCTGAAATGATGATTATACTTTCAATTGAGTGAGTGCTGAATGAATATTCAGAAACCAAAGTTAATTTAAGTTTTCTGATTAGAGATTTTTAAACTGAAGTTTGCCACGGACTATTATGTTAAATCCATTACAGTTCGTGGTCCAATTGACCAATTAACTTTTTTCAATTAATTAATATTTATGAAAGGTATTGGTTGAGGTAAAAATTATGTTAAATAATTTCCTCTCCAAGAAGATATAAACAGATTAACATAAACTGTGCAATTGTAAAGTACCAATCTATTATAAATTTCTGCAGTCAGCTTTTGAAGTCAGATTTTCTTCAATCTATACTCGGGATTACGGATACTTGTATCCAAAATTTTATAACTCTTAAACATGGATAATTTAATACTCTTTAAATTCAAGTCTAATATCACAAAATCATTTGGAATAAACAATGGTCAAAATGATTTCAGTTTATTTTGCAAGACAAGAAAATTTGGTCCTCCTTAACTACAGGTTCAACAAACTTTGACCTCAAGTGGAAATCTCACAAATTTAGATCTGAACATTTAACACGGTTATAAATTTTATATTTTGGTGTGTGGTGTTAATCAATAATTATTCAGAAATCGTGAAATGCAGTCTGGTGTGATTTAGGTTTCAGAAAAACATTTTCTTTATCGTGCCAAAGTTTTGATCTTTAGTGAGATCATCTTCAGGGTCTGGGATTTACAAACATTGTTTACATTTAAGCAATACAATTTGTAAATCCCAGGCCCTGAAGATGATCTCAATAAAAATCAAAACGTTGGCACGATAAAGAAAATGTTTTTGAAACCTACATCACACCAGACCGCATCTCACGATTTCTGAATAATTAATTTATATTTTGGATGCGATGAACCTAAAGGGCAACTTTTTCATTGTGAGATTTCCTCCTGTGATCCACGGACCAACCTATTGTTTGATAGTTACTATCATCTTGTTCTGCCTTTCCTTGCTGATTTTTGTAGGTTCAGATGCGTTTTGGCATTTCGCAATCTTCAGTGTTTGGATGATTCGTGTGTAGTGAAGTTTTAGCTACAAGTTACTCAGAATTCACCCAATGCCGAAATGTGACTTTCAAACAATGAACTTTTTCATTCTCTTATTCAGGGTCACTTGTGATTTGACCTTTCTTCAAACGGTTATTAAACTTAACTAATGATTAAATTTCAGATTAAACTGTTTTATTCCATAGTATTTTTTAATAACATTTATAAACCAGGATGTTTAACTTTTATGCACCGAAGAAGGCAAAGTTATTTGAAAATTAAACTCTTACTACTCTCGCCTCAGGATATCCATATCGACACTGCCGTGCAGAAAGGTTTCGGGTATTGCTAGCAGTGTGGCATTTCCCTTTCTTGCTTACGCTTTTGACTCAATTCCTACATGTCCTCGTGTCTACTCTGTGGCAGGTAGCAGCTTTGAAGTGAACTAACAGAAGAACTTAACAAAACAATGAAAACAATATTGGAAATAAAATATGATTATACCTAGGGAAGATGAGTTAAAATTCACAAAAACACTCAGTTAAATGAATCAATTGTAAATATAATTAAAGGCTAATTTAGCACTCAGAGATCGTTTGTGCTACCTAAGAAAAATGAAAAAAAATTAATCTGAACAGACAGGATGATCTTGTCTTTTATTTAGTGTCCCGTAATTGCAGGTATTCAATACATAGAAAATGAATTTTCCATACTGGAGCAACTGAAACTGTGGTCCCCTAAACAGAGTGCCCGTTATCAGAGGTTTCACCAGACATTCAGAAATTTACAATTTCAATAGATTAACCCATACCTATAAACTAATATTATATTCAGTGGCAGTTTCTAATATTTAGTAAGTTTCCATTTTATATATGCAAATTATTGGATTTTCTAGATTAAAGTTTGAAATATGATTTTATGGAACCCTAATATGTTTCATTTCATTTTTTCTATTGCAAGCAATATTTGTAATATCAAATCTGCCATATATACAAATTTAATAATATAGTCATGGTGAAGTCTAATGGTATGAAGTAACGGCAGTCAGCCCTATTCTTGTTTTTATGATGAAGTTCATGTAGGTAAAAAGCCTGAGTAAAATTTTTAATAAAATAAGCTAAAAAGCTTCTCTACTTCATGCCATTTATGCATCGTAGTCATTTACTATGCCTTATTAAAAAAATAATTAAATTAACCCAGTGACTAAACAAATCAGGGATTCTTGTTTCCTTACGGAATCTACACTACAGGTAAAAATGCTCAAGTGAACAATATAATCCATATCCAATTTCATTTTCCTTCCATTAAGTAATCATCGAAAGTTCTTTGACTAAGTCATTCTGTTCAGAAATTCTGTCAAAAGTTTCTCGCCTATTTGGAATTGATTATTGATGCTTTTTGAGGCTTAAAATCAATAGAACTTTTGGACATCCAGTGAGTAACGTGTATTTATCCTAGATGATGTGACTTTGTAATTTTCATATCGAATGCATTGAACACAACAGTTACCTATGCAAAGCAGTAAAGAAAAACAAGAAGATTAAAATACGAAAACCAGATTTTCAATGAAAATTTGTATACTTGTAAAATTTCATGCTGTAAGACTATTTTTTAAATAAAAACAAAAATAGGATTTATAATTTTGTTAAACATTTAATTGGAATTATTCAATTAAATATACCGACACCAAGTATGGTGAGACTAGTAAGGCAAAACAGGTATAAATCAGTATATATTCTTTCATTAAACACTTTATCTCTCAAATGTTCCAATATTGTGACAGCTGGGATAAAATAGGGAATTAAAAATTAATTGAATTAATAAAGCAGCAATCTTAGGAGAAGAAATCTCAACTGCTCTTATTCAAAAGAAATATGGTTATCGACCTTATCCTCTGAACAAATAGTAAATAAATTTAAAATCACGAATATCTCATCTCGGACGGTAGAACGCAAATATTTATAGTTTCTCAAGACAGCTGATGAAATGAAATGCTTCTGAACATTCACATCTGATACAGTTTAATTGGCCTTGTTAATCTTTCTTTTTTTTACTCTCTTTGTTTTAGCTAGTTAATTATGAATTAACTCTAATAAATTGGCTGAAGGGCAGTAAAGAGTACATGATATACAATTAAATAAAATCATACAGTTAAAAGTAGTTTTTGTTCTTTAATAACAAGTAATACTTGGGATTTACGAAAAGATCTATTGATTCTAATCAAAAATTTGATTCCGTACATTATTAATAAAAAGATAAGAAATAAGTATTTATTCATTAAAGATATAAAATGCTACTTTAATTTTTAAAACAGGATTGATCTGTTCGAGTATTTTTTATTTTTTTATCATTAAATACCAAATAATAAAGATTCAATTGATGAAATTGCTCTAATTAATATTTCTAAGACTGAAATTAATGGAAAAAAATGCCTAGCCCAAAATACTCTCTTATAATCAAGTAATAATTATTTCAAAAATGAAAACTTAATTTGTTATTGAATTTAAAAAAAAAATTGGAGTGTAATAAAAACTTTAATGCAAATTTAAACATGGAAGTAGCTGTTTTCTCCCAAAGGCTGTCATGATTTTCATTCTTTTAAAGTAAATCTTGATGTTAATAATTTTCAATTAAATTATTTAATTGGGCACAATTGTTAAATGTCAGATTATCAAAACTCTTAAGCAGTTCATAAATTGTGTTCTAGTTCACTCTACGTTTTTATTATTTTTTTAATCATAAATTAATGAACCATAATGTTTAAAGTTGGTGGTTGTTTGTCAGTCGCTGAACACATGTTAAATTGACACTTTATTACTCTACTGCACATGCCTAGTCTTTCACAGGTTTATCTGCTACTCGAGAACGTCTTCAGCCATCTTAAGTGAGGAACTCCTGTAATGAAATATCCACTTTAGGCACAAGGGAAGAAAAATTGATATTCAAACAGTATAAGCGTATTCACTAAATGAAACACTCATGAAGATAATTAATTGTTATTTATACTTTCTTTTTAACTTTTATAATATAGCAGACAAACAAATAGAGAAGCTAGATTTTCTTTGGATTTCTTTCACAAGCACAAATATTTGACAAAATGCTATAAAGTTGTAGTCATACTTCATGAATAAATAATAAGCTTTGGCCACATTTTGTTTCAAATAAATAATGAACACAATAAAATCATAATAATAACATAATAAGAGTAAGGTGTGCTCGCGATTTCTACCATTCACAATTAAAAATCCATAGGCTATGCCGGGATTCGAACTCACTACCACTGCTAGCATGACAAATACAAGTCCGACACCCTAACCACTCGGCCACCGGTTTGAATAAACAGCAAAATCAATAAATCAGGTTCTAAATGTGTAAATTCAAACTAAAGAGTACGACTCCTATGGAAATATTTTGTACATAGGTTTTTGAATTTTGAAAATAAAACTTGTCAAACTAAAACCCATCAAAAGTACTGTTCAGTAACTTTTAATAGAGATTTGAGTGTTCATGTTGTTTTATACAGTTATATAATAATAGTTATTATGTAATAATTCTACTGGTATGTTTTTGTACTTTTGTAGCTTATTAGTTATGTTTAATTTAAAAAGTCAACTTTTAGGCTTTGTAAGTTGGTCAATTAGTTTCTTAACATTTGCATTGTTTCTTTTGATCATGATGCATCACATTAATCATTAGTGTATTATCACCGTTGATACTTCATACATTTCACCACTCTGCTGTCTTGGCCACCAAATATAGCAAAACTTTAGGCAGATTATAGCAGAATTTAAGTCTATGGTTTCACAGACAAAAATAAATTCAATTACATTCCAGAAATATCTTTTGACAAATATCTCAGAAATGGATAGATTTTCAATGGAATTAATTGAAGCATTTCTTATCTTTAAAGTACAAAACACTGCTAATTTGTATTTTTGAACTTATCATAGTAAATTGTTGTAACTTTTTGAATACAATTTTCTAATTTCATTAGAAGAAAAAAAATTATCTGGTATAATGAATACTAAAAATTTATGCCTACAACATATATTTGTAATTTTATGTTCAAAGACAGTTATTTTGTAATTCAACATTTCAGATTGTGAGGGGTAGAAAACGGCGACAAGGCAGAAGTTTAAGTGTAAGATTATTTCTATAAGATTGTTTATTATTTATTCGAATCGTGCATATCATAGTTACACATAGGTGTTTTTTTTTCAGAGGTTAAAAAAAGGAAGACGTACAGGTCGAGAAAGGGTTGATGCAAAGGTAAAATCAATATTTATTTTAACTTTATGCATTTTCTATCCATTAATTTTATGAGGGTCATTATTTTTATTGTTTTGGGCCCCCTTAGTGTGTCGTTCCTTCCTTGCATTATGCTCCTTTATTTTTCTCAATTCCTGCATGCCCTGGAACTTCATAACTTTTAGGGTGACATTTTAACAATCACAAAATATTTTTGGTCTTAAAATTCAGAATATCTTCAAGGTGATGATTTGCAAATTCAATGGTGGCGTCTATTTGGTCATCTGACTATGTTCAGATTGAACTGAGCAAATTTCTCAATAAGAAAATATAAATTTCCCTTTAAATTGTATTAGTTTACTAATATACTAAGTTTAGTTTATAATGTACTGATTTTTGATGAACAATAAAAACGTTAAGATTATGTTTCTCTAATTTTATTTTATTTTTCAGATACATGAAATGAGGAAACGATCTCAAGATCAAACTAATGTAAATGTAAGTAAATAATTAAAGTTTTTTAAACTTATGAACTCAGTATTTGTTTAAGCTTCACAGAGTAAGCATTGGTACCTATATCTAAGCTTTTCTTGCCCTTTCAGGGAGTAGTCATACAATTCTTTTTATGTTTAATTTTTTTTTTTTAATTTATTTATGTACATACTTTTAATTTAAAAGAAGTTTTTCTGTTTTATTTCATCTCCCCTTTGGAGTCACACATTATGCACTTTGACCCCGAATCCCCTGATAGAGGTCCTAATATATTTTTAAAACAAAAATTGAAATAGGTAGGCTCAAAGTATATAATAATGCGTTTAGGTGAAAATCACCCGCCCAAAAAGACATTTAATAACTTCACCCCTTTTAAAATTTGCAAATTTATTTTTAAAAAAATTGTCAGGTGAATGTAAATTTTTTGAAAACGTTACAGTCTTATTGAACTTCTTTTGTGAAAGGGATTTTCTAAATCTGAACTCCCTCGAAGACAGACATTCCGGTTAAATTCAATCTTCGTTAAACTCGTTAATTACTTGAAGGGAGACAAACTGCCCCTGAATTATTTAATTGTGAAGAAGATGCCATTGAGATAGAACTAGCCAAACAACACGTTATAAAAGTCCAATGTATGTACAGGGAACAAAATAATTCTAAAGTCCCAACTTACACTAATATTGAACCGGAACTTTCTGACAAAGTTGTTTTCAACTTTTTTTTCTTTCTGTTAAAGTTAGTCCTCTTGAACCTAGACCCCTAAAGTATTTTTCTTGCTTCAGATTCAGACATGTCAGTAATTATGTCAAAAATTGTGTGAACTGCGGAGAAGCTGACCATAACGCAAAAGATTGTTCAAATGCATACTGTGGTAGCTGTCATCCACCTTACAATAGGTCTTGCCCTGTTTATATAAGAGAGATATAAATATAAAAAATTAAGACCATTATCATTTTATAAAAACGCCGAATCACTTCTTCACAGGCAAACTCCAGGCACACATTCTCACTCACTAATTGTTATTATACCAATTGCTAAAACTCCCTCTGAATCTAATTCAGAGGTTCTTACTTCTACTTATCAACTTACATCCAATACTTCTTCCTCTCCTTCTCAACAAGGATTTCTCAACCCTTAAATGCTTTGAGTTCAAACTTTTTAGCGGAACAATTTGAAAAGCTAAGCAACATTGACCTGGCTAATATATTGGGTTGTCCGGAAAATAATGCAGGATTTTGGTATTAAACAAAAAAAAAGAAACTAGTTACTTTAAAGCAATGTTCTTTAATCAAAANAGTAATCCTGTAAACGTAAACAGAATATTTTATATAGATTTTTTTTAATGAAAACTTAAAATCCTGCATTATTTTCCGGACAACCCAATATATATATTATACAATTCATGTCTGACTGACAGACAACACACATTTTAAACAAACTGCTGGATCTAAACGGCTGAAATTTCAACAGTGCATTCCTATAATGACATGGATAGCCGCTAAGAAAGTATATCTTGAAATTCCATCCCTTAGGGGATCATATGGACAATTTTTTACCATGTATAGGCCGAAGTGAACTGAAGATTATAAGAATTTGAGAATCGAGAAATTATATTAAAAAGCCATACTACCACTCTGCATTGTTAGAAAAGTACATTAAAACAGAGTCCCATGTGGATGAAGTTGCGGATAAAAGCTAGTAAAATTAATAAATTTGAACAAGCCTTAAATCAAATAGAATCTTCGTCCACCACGAACACAGAACACTAATGACCTTTGAAAACGTGAAAACAGATTGCCGTTTCTTACTCTTAACAAGCCATTAACGCCAAGTTAAAAACCCAAACCCTTACATTAGCCCTAAAGAGACCAATTTCACAAAATTCATTACCAAGTGAAAGTAGTGTCAATTACAGTATGCAAAAAATCAGTAAATCCGAACAACAACTCAGTATCTATGCAACATAAAGCTAAACATAAAAAATTGAAAAATCTAGCAATCTAATCTAATAAAGTAATTAGTATAAACTATTAAATTAGTTAAAATCATTAATTACGTTATCGTTTCATGTTTAAATCCACTCAATTCTTATCAATAGTTAATTTTAAATGCATAATAAATGTAAATTGGCTTTAATATAAATAAATAAATAGATACATTTGAAAAATCGGGAATATATTTTCTAAAATTGTTAATAACTGCAATGGAATGTAAATGGAGCTACAAATAGGAATCATGATATAGAATATTTGTTTAAGACTTTTAATTTATTTATATTGTGCCTACAAGAAACAAACCTTAAACCCAATCAAAAATTCTACTTCAGACAATATTTTTGAGAATATATCATAATATACTCACAAAAGAGATACAGGTGGGTTAATTGCATGCGTGGTGGTGTGAGCCTATTGATTATAATCATTCATAATATGAATGAAATTCCATATTACAAAATAGACACAGGTTCTGATTTTCAAATTATAGCTGCTAGAATTTTAATCATTGCAAGGTACAATGTGTTCCATTCCTCCTAGTCAAAAAATTGAAATGTATGAACTAATTGATGTATATAATTGCCTTCCTCAACCAGTCCTAATATTATAGACCTAAATGGACATAATCCATTCCCATCGGGTACCTAAATGGACATGCTTCTATCAGGGCAGAAGCAACACGAACTAACATGTAAAGTTATTAAAATTTTTATGAATCTATACAACCTAAACAATTTTAATAGCTCTATCCTTCTCATCTTTGTGTGAGATCTGGAAAACTTTCTAATATTGACGAGTCTCGTATCACCCGCTCTTCACTCCGTTTGACATGGTATAGAATAGATGATACACATGTTAGTGACCACTTTCAAAGTAATAATACTGTTTTGGCAAATCAGTGATTTTATAAGCGAATTGGTCCCTTTTAGCAAGACTTAGTAGATCTGTCTAATTTAAAATTAAATGACACAGACATTAATGATTTGACTTCAGAATTAAATTCATGTATAGTTAAAGCAGCTGAAACTGCCATTCCTCAATCCAGCAATTTTCCTTATAATAATAAAACCAATTCTGTACCATGGTAGACAGCAGAGTGCGAAAGTACGTTTAAGGAAAAGAAGAAGTGTTTGAGAAAATTTTTCAGGTGGTCTTCTACTGAATTATTGATTTCCTTAAACTGTGTGAAAAAGAAATTCAGGTATATTACAAAAAAGAGAAAGCTATCTTGGGAAAGTTTTGTTAGTAATGTTAGTAGTCCCCCCCCCCCAGCAAAACAGTTTGAGATACAGTTAAAAGAATCAGAGGTATTGGTTCTTCACCCCCCTGTAAATTATCTTTATGACCAAAATACTTACAAAATCTATATAATCTATCTGCAGACAGCATCATTGCACCTAATCTTATGGTTCACAGGTGTGAAATAGTTACCTCTAATTCGTAATGAAATAGATCCTTAAAATAAACCTTTTTCGGTAAACAAATTTGAACACGCATTGACAAGTAGAAAAGTACATATGGCTCTGCTGGTCTTTGATAGAACTGATACAAAAAACAGGTTTGTTTCTAGTCGTAGGTGCTTTTTGATCTAGTCCTTCTGTTAGTGTGCAGCAGCTAGAGAATTGCCCCTCACGGAGATTGACTCGATTTAAACTTTGTAGTGTGTTCCTGGGCTGCAGCCTACTTACTTCCCATCCAGAAAGATTTTTAAGACTGAAAATGACCCAAAGCTGTTGATTGCCTTTATAATTTTATTTAAGAAAAAATGAAAGTATAAGTCAATTTATTATTATTATTATTATATCCTAACATACAATTTTGTATACTGGTCATTCTGATCCTTTTTCTTGTCTATCTTTTACTATTTGGTCTGCCTGATGTATTTCAGCTTTCCACTCACCATCTGCATTAGTCATGATTTAAGCATATATAGCATGATCTGTAATTATATTATAACTATCACATATAGTTATCGCATAATATGTCTCACTCTGCATATAATCCAGAAAGGTCAGACCATAACAGCCGGAAACAACCAATCTGTGGAATTTCATAAGTGCAATTCATATAAAAACAAACAATTATAAGAATTTAGATGCTAATAAAATATAAACAAAGAGCAGAATTTTTTTGAACATTTGGTGGTTGAGCAAGGTTATAAGCAGGGAGAGGCAAAATTCATGGCATATGGCACGAAATGAATTGTTCAAAACCCAGCGAAGATAAGCAGATCAAAATGGCCAGTAATGACAAAATATGGTTCATCCCCACAGTAAATATCACAATTTTTTGTTTTTGTAATATTTAGTACTAGTATAAGATATAATTGGATAATTATTTTTTTAATAGCCTTAAATGTTGCATATTAGGCAAGGAATGTGATATCATATGCAATTTGTACTCTCTTCGGGGGGAAGGGTTGTGTCAAAAAAAGGGCCAGGGGAAAAGGTGGGAATGGAGCCCACAACTGCGAGGTTAGATCAGTACGTCTAATACACTGGCTACTGCAGTTCCCCAAAATTGGATTATGGAACACCTTATTAATAAAAATGACTAACACATTAAATTATACTGTTTTTCAAATTTATTTTATTTTATTTTTATTGGATTGCTTTCTCTGTTGCTTCTTCTTTGAATACTTCCTAAAATTGCTAAACTCACAAATTATGCAAGTAAACATGATTTGTATGCATTTTCATATGTTTCTATTCTAAAACATGTGATATATTATTGCTGTCATTTTTTTTAAACAATTGAAAGTTTATAGGACAAAATAATTGTCAGAACATTGGTTTTTGTTTGTTAATAGGTGTTTTTGTTACATGATAATAAATTATAAGAAAGAATGCCTATAAGTTTAATTATTAAGCACTCACTTAATGCTTATTTATAAAGATGGTCATAATTTCATAATTGTTAAGTCTATACATTGAGATATTGCTCAATTTCTGTTCTTTTTCAGTGCCTGTTAAATAAATTTTTAATAATTCATATTTTTAAATTAATTCTGGTGTTCTGTCTAATTTGTGATTACTCCAATATTTCAATTAATTATTGTATTTATAGTAGAAAAATGTGATTAAATATGTTTAAAAAAGTCTACATTTTCTTGAGCAACGAAAGTGCCACTGGTTGTGAGATTGAAGTAATTAAATTATAAACTCAAGATTTTGTTTATATTTTATTCATCAGCAAATTACTCTACCATTCTATAGAGTCAAAGTAAGAGATTTCCTGTCATTAGGATATTTTAAAGACAATGTCCATTGGGGTACCCATCAAAGTGTTACACGAGGCCGAAGGGCACATTGTCACTTGTGAGACTATCACGGGCGAAGTGTACAGGGGCAAGCTCGTCGAAGCCGAAGACAACATGAACTGCCAGATGAGCGGTATAGCAGTCACATACCGCGATGGCCGAGTCTGCAGTCTAGAAAATGTTTTCATTCGCGGTTCAAAGATCAGATTCCTAATCTTGCCCGACATGCTCAAGAACGCACCCATGTTCAAGAAACAGACACGAAAAGGCCCACCGAGTTCTACAAGGGGCAAATCAGCCATCTTGAGAAGCCAGGTTTCAAAAGGGAGAGGATTGCATAGAGGAGGCGTGGTACCGCAGAAGACCGGCTGGCAACCCGTGCTTCCACCATTGCAGAAAAAATGATTCAGTTGATCATTGTAATTGTTATAAAGTTCTCTTTTATGTATTTTATGGTAAATAAAATTGCTTTAGCTTTCAATTTATACATATGTTTTAATGTTATCATTATTATCATTTAAATTAATTTTATATTTTTTAGCTTTATATACTTGAAATTTGATATAAAGGTCAATGTCATGGATGGGATGCTGAACCTCTTGAGCCACCTTGATTGATGAATCTTTAATAAATGATGCCACGATGAGTCATTCTGACAGTAAAATAGAATTGCACAAGATAAGCTGTGTGTTGAGAAGGTCGGTGTCTTGGATATTAAAGTCGCAGTGATTGGAGTGTCAGGGTACAGTTCTGAAGACTGTGGGTTCACATTCCATCCCTGGCGTTAACCTTTTTATCCCAAATTGTATAAAATGTGAAAATCTTTTTATCATTAAAACAAAGTTGTAGTAACTTAAATTTATATTTTATGAATGTTCAAGGGGATAATGTCAATATTCATTTCACTTATGTCATAATCATGGCCTACTTTTATTAATACACCTTAGTTATATCATCAATGGTATATAACATAATATATTATATCCCGCTCGAGACACTGGCTTTTTTATCTCAACCAATACCTTACATAAAAATTAATTAATTGAAACATGTTATTTGGCCAATCGGAACACAAAATCTAATGAATATATTATATTATATTCACTAATTTCGTGGTCCACTTGACATTACAATTAATTAAGGTTTTTAGTTGAGATGAAAAAAAGTTAATGACACAAGCGGTATTCGAACCCACGATCTTCGGCTAGATACGCCGCTGCTCTACCACTTGAGTTATCGTGACCTCGATCCACTCGGACATCAACTTCCTATCTCAACCCCACCTTATGAGTTTTCCCTCCTTTTTGCCATTTTTCAAATGTCGTGTAATCGGATTGGATTCTCGACGACAAATGAAATGGCCACGGAGAGCTTTAGTGAAGTATACTTCATTTTGAAAAAATTTTTTAGGAAGTTGTATATCTAGGTATTTTTTTTTAGGAATATGGTATCTAGGTCTGTATAGGACAGGAATGACCATCCTAGATTCATATCCTTTTTTTTTCTAGTTATTGCAGGACAGTTGCATAGGATATACCTCTTAAGGGTTTTTAATTCTTTTTTGTAGAGTAGAATTTAATTTTTCCCCATTGGATTGTTTTTGCAAGTAGTCTTTTTACCTCATGCCTGGCTAACGTTCTCAGTATTTCTTGTTTTCTATAATTGCCAAAGATTCCAGGGTTTTTTCCCCCGAAATGAGGGGTCAAACCACTTTACAATACACTTTCCATACTATTATCAATTAACACACCTTGGGCTCTACCAGTATTCAAAATGCTAGCATAGCAAATATGAGGCAGTCCCTAACCACTTGACCACCAAGGTATGTGGCTATAATTGAAAATGAATTTGAGCCTTGGGTCTTTTGAGTATCTTTTTTTGAGTCTTGTCTGCTTTTGCATTAACTAAAATTTCCTCATGGGACCTGCTTTAGCATTATGCTATTCGTAGATCCCAGTTTTTAGGGTATTCAGGCAGTTCCAGACAAGTTTTGAGTTGATCTGGTAGGATTGGAGAGTCTTTAGAGCTGCCTGGCTGTCTGATATTAATTTTTAAATTTGAAATTTGTCTATCTCACTGGGTAGACTGGTGAAATACCAAAATGTGACTGACAGACCATCATCATTTAAAGTGCTAAGTATCAGGGTTATAGGCAGGGAGAGGCAAAAACCCAATGTTTCATATGGCTTTATATAAAGCTAGTTTTTTTTTTTTGCCTTATGATCTTTGCATATTAGCCATCTAAAGCTAAAGTTGGACAATACTTTAACCCCAGGATTTACAGGCTTGTGAAGTAGATATTACATTTTATCAAATACTATTATGCAATACCTTTAATATTTATAGCTGATTTTATTGCTTTATATCTTAAAAATTCATGTTCTTGGTTGAAACCAACACAGGTTAATTTAATAATTGCATTCTAACAAATTCTCTCTACCTCTATTTTTTTATTTTCCATTCATTTTCTTTTGAGCTTCTTTGCCTGGGTATATTTTTTACTATTTACAAAACTAATTAAGGTATTACAACCATGTTTTTTTCAGAGATGAACCAAAAGGAAAAAGACTCAGTAAAGCCGATTGTAAGATTTATAATTAAATCTTAAAGCATCCTTCTTTCCTCATTTATTAATCTTGTATCATGTGATGCAATAATTATAATTTTATCATTAATTAATTCTACTTGTGTATTGGTAATAGATTTGACAATTAAATTTGAAATTATGCAAAGAAAGTTCAAGCGACGCAAACCCACGACTTTCAGTTATGTGGATGCTCTACCATTGAGCTGTCTGTTCAGCCTCCAAGGAACAAACCTTTTCCACCATTTCAACCTACAATGGTTTTGAAATTCAACTTTTCCACCAAAATTCAAAATTGTGGCATGATTTAGCTGCTTAAACGATCAATGTAATTAGCATGGATCAATTTATGTGAACATCTCTAATTATCAATTGATTGGTATTTATTTTTAATTAATTATCTTTATTTTTACTTTGTATTGTAAGCAAAATTGTACAAAGAAAGTTGAGATGAAAAGTTTTAGTAGGTGGAGTTGGTGTTTCGGTGGAGCAAAAGTCGTGTTCATGTCCTGCATGTGCTCTAACTGTTCATCTTAACTTTCTTTTCATAATTTTGTTTACTATAAATAGAAATATATTTACCGTACTATACATAATTCTTACAAGGTATTTTGTAAGAAATGACAGTCTTAGTAATACCTAACAGCAGATTTTGTATTATTTACTTTTGGCATTTTCTTATTATTTTCATTGATATATTGAGGTGTAATCTGATTTATTTGGTATTCGTTTAAACAATGTTAGGAAATTTTTATGTGTAATTTCAGCGATAATGCTTATTTAGCAATAATGCTCAATATTGCTCATTTTTCTGTAAAACTTATGCTTTTAAAGATGATTGATTCATTTTGTAGGAATCTTTTTTCCAGAATTTTTTTCCATGTGTGTTTAAGGTTTATTTTATGTTGTTGCAGAGACCAAGAAAGCGACGCCCCCATGAGGAAAACCTATCAGTGAGTTTTATTTGTAATAAATTGTCTCATCAGTTTTATTAACAATTGTTCCTTTAATTACAGACAAAAGTAAATAAGGTGAGGAAGAGGTCAGTATTTACAAAACCTCCAACTTGCAAGTGTGGTGTGCAGGATCATTGTAAGGGCTCTTGCCGAGGTTACAGATGCCCTTGTTATTCAGCCGACAAATCTTGTTATGATTGTGGTTGTTTGGGTTGTAAGAATCCAAGGGGTGCATCGCTGAACAAGGTATTTTGTAAGAAACGACAGTCTTAGTAATACCTACAGCCCTATTGGAGTTTGATTCTATTAAACCTTCTTTGAATTTCAGGCAAGTCCAACTGGAGTTGTTGAGAATAGTAGAATCAAAGAGGAAAATCAGAATTTGGTTAAATGAAAAGTTCTCTTTGATTTGATCCAAGTTCTTTAATATATTTTTTCCTAATAGAAATATAGACTATTACACCCTGTAAATATTATTTTTTTGTTATATAGATCAACTTTTGTAATAAATATATATATATATATTTTGTTATGTAAATAACAGTTAAAAACAAACTAAAAAATGGACAGATTGTTTGTAAATAGTTCAAACTGTATTTTGTTACAACTACATTTTTTTAGTCCTTTGTAGTGTCATGTTATAATAATCATTGAATTTTTAAAACAAATTATAACATTCAAAAAATTTATTAATAATTGATAATTGACTCAATCCCGAGGTCAAGGTATGTTTTGTGCCCTTAATTTTTTGTCCCCTTAAAGAGATAAAGGAATATTTTTATTAATCAAGTTGTACTGCTACTGCTATTTTCTTAGGATTATTATATAGAATATAATAGCTGTTCTATATTTTTTTGGCTGACAACTCTGTACCTTTTTGAATAAGAAGAACTAAAGGATTTTTATTTATTTCTTTGAACCCCTTGATACATCACAACACCAGATAAATAATACTATAGAAATTCCAATTGTGCAACTAACCTAAAAAGAAAATAAACTATTTCAAGTCCCAGGCCCAGATAATATAAATTATTTAATTAAAAAATGAATTTGGGAAAATAATTGGTTTCATGCAATCTGGGAATAAATATATTTTCTCGGCTTATTTATTTATTTTCGGGCAATAGCACATTTTATTACAATGTGTGGTGTTTAGTGACTGTTAGCCAATGATTTTTTGGAGATCGTGAGGTGCGGTCTGTAGAAGAACAAAGAACATGGGATTCTATTAACAGATTTATCAGAGAACGTTTTTTTTTTTAAATGCAGACAACACAAGGTATTTCCTACTCACATGAAAAACAACTTTAACTTCACAAATGCCACACTAGCACAATCAAACACCAGAATTAATGACATACATAAAGCAATACATTTCAAAAGAAACATTTTAAACATAGAAATCACCACCAGCATTAAAAACATTAAGACATTAACACAAAACTTACACCAATTATACTCACTGCCGTCTACAGACACACTTAAAAAAATTCTACAAACACCAAAAAGATGCATACAATTCCACTTTGACCAAATTAAAAACAACACACCATAAAACTTAACAACTTAATCAACAATGAAACACCTGTTAACACAAACAATTGGTTTCTAAACTTAACAAAAACTAACATTCCTCCAGAAATCCAAAACTTCCTATCACCTGGTCCCAAACATTCCATTCCTTACAACAAAAAAGATTTCCCAACAGCTAAATTGGTTAATTACTGATGTAGATTGTGCAATCCAAAAGTCAACAAAATCAGAAGAAGAAAAAGACATAACACGATCAAAATGCATTAACACAATAATAAATCACTTACAACACCTCACTACACATCAACACAACGTATCACAACAAACATACACCAAAACAAAAAAAATTCTCAAAAATAATCCTGACTTACTCATTCTTTCTGCTGTTAAAACAAAACAAACAGTAGCAATCAGCAAAAAAGAGTACAAGGAAAAAATTATCAATGACACAAACACATTAGCACAATCAAATCAGACCCTACCCTTTCTCTCCACACTTAACCAGACCGCACCTCACGATCTCCAAATAATCATTTTATTACAATAATTACAAGAAAGTCAAAGGACATGAATAACATTGAAATATTAAACATTGACAATAATAAAAATAATATTTGGGATTTGACTTGTAAATAAAAACAATATATATATTATTTTTAGTTACAACAGCAATCAACCAACACATGAAGTGTACATACAGATTTGAGATAAAAATTAAAAGCCTTTTCACATTCTTAGACTTAGGATGGTATCATGATGCAAAAATATGATATCAAGAATGGCATACTACATTTTATTAGTCTCAAAACAGGAAACCAACTTTATCTTAATTTTAACCTATTATTTCTCTCTCATACTCTGTTCTCTTTAAAATACAATGTTTCAGAAAAGTTTTCTTTTTCAACAGTTCAACAGTTCTCTTGATTGTTCTGAACTTACTCATTGTCTGACACTACACTTCCAATGCTTTGATAACAGATTTTATTTTCGATATGAAAATCATGAAGATGACTAAAACTTTCCAAATGCCACAAAATATTTTGTCACTTTGTTTAACATATTGACTGTGTAAGATAGTGTGCTTCATGTCAACTGCCATCAGGATAGTCTCCTTGTGTGGACACAGTCTGCGTCCTCTCGTTTATACTTTTTCTATTTTCCCAACACCACCCTCTAAACAATTTATTTTGAAATTCTTAGGGCCATCTCACAAAGGGCAAAAGTTTCTCTGGCTAAGGTTGTTCCAATTTTTTTCTTCTGGAAGTGTTTTATTTATATTATGAAACCACGTAATTTGCAAATTTGCTTTTCTGTGTAATTGTGTTATTTTAATTATTTGCCCATTTTGGATGATCTTGTAAAATAAAGGAAAAAACTACTGAAAAAGTACAAATGACTTTCATTCAATAACTTTCCAAAATTGAATAAAAGTTCCGCTCGCTATATTACCTACTTAGCGCTGCAAGGACCTAACTCTTACATTAAATTATTTTTCTCCATTTAGTAAATGTTAACAAAATTAACTTGCTAAATTGGGTTCTGCTGTGGGCAACCAAAATGATTGAGGATAGTATGCCACATGTTAATATTTCAGGCTTCAGAGCAGTGAATCGCTAAAGTTGATGAAAATAAAATCACTGAATTTTTTTAGTGGCATAAATAAATGAGCTTTATAAGATTGATTATGCCACTTGTCTTTTGCATATAAACAGAAAAATGATAAAAAATAATCAAAATGTCACTTTTATTGCATTGCCTGTAAAACATTTCTTAGGTTGCATTAATAATGTAAAAACGTGATTAATTAATTTATTTTTTATTTTTTTTTTTTACTGGGGCTTCTGACATCTAGGTCATTTCAGCCCCCAACTAAGTCTATATTCTATTTACCCTTTCAAACACTACATTCATACAAATAAATACATTCTTACACATAAATACATCCATACAGTACACTCATTCCGTTTGGTCGATGGAGTACTTTTATAAATATTCCGCCATCGACCCCGAACACACACTCATACGCTCTCAACGTTCGAGGGGTGATGATGATGTTATATTTCACCATCACCCCTCGCCATTCATGATAATAAATACATGCACTCAGACAAAGCATATAGACACACAACACATAAGACATATTATATACAATAAAGAACCCCAAAAAGCGGAACAGGGGACCCAGAAACCCGCTTTGGCCCAAGAGCAAGTGCCCATGTGTCAACCGTGTATGGCCTAATATTAATTGCGTAAGGACGTTTCCGGCTCAGGTTCTCAGGGGGCCATCTACGAATAGTGCTCTTGACGCACAAAAGCCTCTCGGACGACCCGGCTCACTGACGCTGCCATCTTTCTTTTATCATGTTCTTTACTGCTAGCTTGGTGTCAGAGGGCCTAGTTGCGATGGTCCGGTCTGGACGGTGGGACATCCCAGCCTTTGCCGCCTCGTCCGCACGTTCATTACCCTCCAGCCTGACGTGTCCGGGGATCCAGACAACAACCACCGTTTTTCCAAGGCGCTTCAACTCAGCAAATTTTTCCACAACAGCATGACGAGAGGGTGATTAATTTATTAAATTTTGTAAAAATTATGTTGGAAATTCAAATTTCATTTGCGACGGTTGTTTTCTATGTGTGAATAAATAAAAATAAATAAATAAAATGATTTTTCTGATTTTTTTCTTTTTCTGCATTTCTATTAAAACAAAAATAAAAAATTAATAAGTAAGTTCAGATAACAAGTAAAAAACACTTAGAAATTATCCCACTCATGACACTTTTTCATTACAACCAAAACCTTACATAAAAATGTTAATTAATTGTAAGAAGTAATTTGGTCCATAGACCACTAATTATAATGAACTTAGAAATTATTACAATTAATTAAATTTTTAGTTGAGATAAAAAAGTCAGTGTCACGAGCGGGATTCGAACCCACAACTGCTAAATACGCCGCTGCTCTACCAATTGAGCTAGGTGACTTCGATCCACTCGGACACTAACTTTCTACCTAAACCCGTTTAGAATTTTCCCTCCTTTTTTGCTATTTTTCAAATGTCGTGTGGATTACATGATTCTCGGCGACAAATGAAATGGCCACGGAGAACTTTTAGTGAAGTTATACTTCATTTTACTGATTAAATCCATTAGAGGAGAGAAAAATTAAAGAGACTTACAATTAATTAAGGTTTTTAGTTGATATAAAAAAGTCAGTGTCAAGAGCGGGATTCGAACCCACAATCTTCGGCGAAATACGCCGCTGCTCTACCACTTGAGCTATGGTGACTTCGATCCACTCGGACACTAACTTTCTACTTAAACCCGTTTCAAATTTTCCCTCCTTTTTTGCTATTTTTCAAATGTCGTGTGGATTACATGATTCTCGGCGACAAATGAAATGGCCACGGAGAGCTTCTGGTGAAGATATACTTCATTTTACTGATTAAATCCATTAGAGGAGAGAAAAATTAGAGACTTACAATTAATTAAGGTTTTTAGTTGAGATAAAAAAGTCAGTGTCACAAGCGGGATTCGAACCCACGATCTTCGGCTAGATATGCCGCTGCTCTACCACTTGAGCTATCGTGACCTCGATCCACTCAGATACTAACTTCCCATCTCAACCCCACCTTTTGAATTTTCCCTCCTTTTTGCCATTTTTCAAAATTAAGTATACTTCACTAAAGCTCTCCGTGGCCATTTCATTTGTCGTCGAGAATCCAATCCGATTACACGACATTTGAAAAATGGCAAAAAGGAGAGAAAATTCAAAAGGTGGGGTTGAGATGGGAAGTTAGTGTCCGAGTGGATCGAGGTCACGATAGCTCAAGTGGTAGTAGAGCAGCAGCGTATCTAGCCGAAGATCAGGGGTTCGAATCCCGCTTGTGCCATTGTCTTTTTTATCTCAACTAAAAACCTTAATTAATTGGTCAAGCAGACCACGAAATTAGTGAACTTAGAAATTATGTTAAACCAAATTACAAGCAATTTTTTTTGTCATAAAAAAAATATATATAAAATAAAAAGACAAATATTAGACTTAAATATCAACAGTAAACATGTGCAGAGTAAGTGAAAGGGATTTTAAGAAAAAATGCAGCTTATAATTTTCACTAACATCTTTATTCATTTAATAACTTAAATCACTGGATGATTTTTTTTAAATATATTTTTATCGATTGAAAAATAACGACACAATACAACTTAATGCAGAGATCACAGCCCAAGAAACTCTCTGAACTATATACAAAGTATTTAACGAGATAAAAAAGAAAATAGAAGTTGGGTTTAATGAAGACTATACGTCACACAAAACAAACATCTACTAGTTACAATAGTTTTCTTATGTACATATGCCCCTTTTTTTTTCTTTCTTTAACTTTGAAGCAATTTCCATTTCGTTTCCCCCATTATCTTCATATTTATATATAATATATACTCTATAATTATTTGAGCAAACTGACATTAATTTACCAAATTATATGTACAACGGATTTTCTTTCATATGTTTTACAAATAGTACAATTTGTTACAATCAAAGTGATCAATCACATACATGTAAAATGTATCATTCAAAGAGGAGCATATTTGGTCAAGTGTTCATCACTTCTACATCAGTCACTAAATTATTACCTCCTCCTAAATGATAAAATAAAAATTAACTTTTGTACTTCTTTGAATGGAAGTTTTTGCCCTTTTTATTCTATGAAATAAATTATAATTTAGTAGAGCTTAAAGACCAGTTATTTGGTTTCAATTTGCTTTATAGCTATATATAATATATATTTTTATATATTTAACATAAAATATGTCTGTATTTTTTCTTATGTATAATATAAACAATTATTGTAGTTCGATGTAATAATAAGTATTAGTAAATAACCCATTATTATTGCTCAATTATAACTATATACATTATTTACATATTTTATAGGTAACCACAAGTTGAAGCCTAGCTGTATGTATATAGTGGTCACTGGCTATTAACAATAATATTCAAATTTACACACAATATAGCACTTCACAAAATATTCATATATGTATATACACATATCTGTTGTATGTATATAAAATTTATCCATATAAGTATATACAAAGAACAAGGTCCATTATGTCACATTAATTAAATCTATAAAATCTGTATAAAGAACAAAATGTACAATTACAAATCAAATGACCATATGAAAATAATGTGTTTTCAAAGTTCAATAAAATGTCCCATTTTTTTAAAAACTTTCATTAATTCAAAAACAACTAAGAAAAATAAAATTTCTCTATCAATGTTTTAAATAACTTTTTTTTTTTTTTTTTAAATTTAATTTAATGAGGAGATGAGGAGCACTTGTCAAGATTGGGGATAGTTTAACGTCACAACCGGTGTGTAGTTTTCGTATAGCTGTGTGAGATCATCACTATTAGGTGTCATCCGGACAAATATCATATAACTGTCACACATTATTATTCGATTCAGTCAAACAGTTGCTATGACAATCACTAGGTGTGCAAGATCGGCAACCCTGTGAAACAGATCTGGCGCAATTCTTGCTAGGTTCTCATTGGCAAAGTCGCACGCTGGGAATATGTGGACAACGTATGCAGCCTAAAAAGAAAAAAAAATTAAAAATCCATTTCGTGTTAAAAATTTATGCATTTTTTTTTTATTTGCCTGTGTTGCACCAGGAGGAGCGATGTTAACAATTCCAGCTGCCTGTTTCTGCTGCAAATACGTTATGAATCCGTTTTGCAGATTATTGCTCTGCTGAAGCACATCTAAGTGGTCTCGGCCGCAAGGAAGAGCCAAAAGTGTACAATGTTCATCGTCAGTCTGAAAATGCACAAAAATTAAAATAAGTTCTGCACAAAAAACAACATATTTTAACAATGATATTTTAAAAGATGAATTTTTAAAACATACCTGCATTTTTTTGGCTACGCCTTCTACTTGGAATGGTTCCAGCCTCATCCTCTGGGCTATCCTGAGTGGAGGTGTGGAACCGTCACTGTTACAAGGGAGTGAATCACTTGCAACACGAGGATTGCCGAAAACAAAATGCATTTGGACTGCCGCCTGATCGGTTTTTAATGCAAGCAGTCCTTGCCACATAACTGGGTAACGCTGTGAATAATTAATAAAATGATTAATATGAGTAAAATAAATTACAAAATACGATGACTATTTTGTTAAAATAAAGTACCTGTAAGAGCATCAAGAGGGAATCGGCTTGTGGTGGCACTTGACTCGCATGTGGAGGTGTGGCCACTTGAAGCCTTCCTGACGATGGTGGTGTTGGTTGTGGTCTTTGGGCAGGTTGCGGTGGTAGCCCTTCATAAAATATATGTCTCGCAGAGCCATGCATATAGAGATTGGCTACTTGAGGAGAATCCGTGGCCCTGTCGTGTGGAGAACCTCGGCGAAGCTCAAGTGGTGGTGATGAGAGGGCTCCAGTCCCTCCTCTGTCATCCATATCACTCACTTTTACCATTCCTCCTTTAAAAAAAGTAATGAGTACAAATGTTTTGTTATCATGAAAAGTAATGATAAAAATAATAATTACCAGGACGAGAATAAGGTCCCATTCTAGAAGAATCTCCAAAAATCTGTTGGAACATACTGACGTAATGAGTACCGGTCTGCATATGATGATGAGGTGAATAGTTAACCATCTCTCCCTATAAGCAAAATGCAAATAATTAAAATAAATATTTTGCATAAAATAATAAAATTAGAAGGAAGAAGTAGGAACAAAATCTACTGCCATGCAATTTTTTGTAAAAAGATGTTTTCAGTTTGGAGGGAAACGTGATGTCGGGTTTACCTGCTGCTGCTGGGCAACTGGGAGTACACCTTGGCTGGACCATTGTGGGTTTGGGAGAAGATCAGCCACAACACCATGCTGTTATCAACCATACACACCATCACCATTTAGTAAGAAATAGAAAAAGAGAAAACCAACAAACCCCAAAAAATACTTTAAAAATGGAGGAGGAATTTGCAAGGAAAGAAAAATGAAAACCCAAGCTCAAAAATCACAATACAATGTGTAAGTAAATGATCGTACCAGTGATGCCTCAAAGGCAGGAATGGGCATTCCGGCTTGCATGACCTGATTACGTGAAGCAGCGGGATGGGCTGAAGTGCCGGGAACGATGCAGCTGCCATCTCCCAGTCTGGTCCCTTGTCCTACTTCTGAGGGCGATCCCTTTATTAGGACCCGAGCACTACTGGCACCTGTAATCATTGGCTGTTGGTGTGCTCGAAGAGGTGGACTTGCTACTGATCCAGTTAGCAATGAGCCTTGATGAGGAGCTGGTGATCCAACAACTACTTCTCGTGCCTGAGCCTGAAAATTTCATTATATAAAATAAAACCACTTTTTGTTTTAATTATTACCATTTTTTATGAATCACTTACATTTCCGATTGACTGAAGAATAAGGGCCTTTGGTGTCATAGGTGTAGGGCCTTTTGGAAAATGAGCAGGTGGCGAAGTAGGTCCACGAGGAGGTAGTTTGACTCTGCTAGGTGCCACGCCTTGAAGCAAATGCGCTTTTGGCGACAGTATGGAAACTGAATGCATACTAGATGGTGCTGTGCTCCGATTTGTTGTCGTATCCATTGGGGTTCCATAACTGGGACTAGATGCCATAGTGACCTGCAAAAAATGTATGATTAGTTGTGATAATTACATGTATTTTGAGGGGAGTGGTAAAAATAATAACCTTAGCTGCTGGTTGGGATACAGCGGTGATTGAGCAAACCGACTGAGGAGCAACAGGCCGAACAACACTCATACGAGCAGAAGTTGTCCTTGCAACCGCTTCTTCACCTTGCATCATACGCTGACGCTTTTCTGGAGGTTCTCCTTCACAAGGTTCTTTGTGAACAGCATTCCCCATATTGGCTGAAGCACTAATAAACAAAAATAGCAAATTAGTTTCCAATAGCATAATCATGAAAATATTGACTGTAAAATATTACTAACCGATCGTTGTGCACAGGTATGTATTGACCTTCTTCTGATTCCCTCATGGGAATCAAAAGCCCGGTTACAGGATCAATGAGTGTAGTTGGCTCTGTCGCTGAATGTTGCAATCCAGCTCTTATTAATTTCCCTAGAGCCATGGGGTGCTGAGGTTGAGAAGAAGGCACTCCCGGCGCCATGGTCACGGTAGTCATAATAGTTGTCGGTGGCTGAGCAGTTGTTGTAGGAGTCGGTGGAGTAGACTGTGCCGGTGGTGGTGTAGGAATAATCGTCATAGGTTGAGGAGAAGAAGAAGGAGGTGAAGATGGTTGTTGGACAGAAGGTGGTGGAGGAGGAGCGATTTGCTTTCGTCTCGGTGATTTACGGACTGTCTCAAGTACAGTAGGTGGGGCAAGATTATGCGTTGTACTTCTTGTTGCTCTTCTTCCTGGTCTTCCTCGTATGACATCGTCAATTGTATCGTCAACAGTATTTCTTCCATCCTTTTCCTGAGAGGAAATGAGAAAAAAAATTATATCAAATCAAAATTAAATTTCAGAGGTACACAACATGTATATATACAACATTTACAAATGCAGACAACAGAGGACACACACTAACATAAAATGAAAACAAATTAGTACAAAAATGGGAAAGGAATTTTATATTTATTTTAAAAGGAATGGGAAAACGTTTCTTTTAAATTAATACCAAATTAAAATTGCAAAAACATTTTGCGCTTAACATAAAGGACTTTTAATTAACTAACACCAAACAAAAAACAAACAAAAACAAGGGGGGGGGGAGAAAAAGTAAATTAATATTCTTAGTCAAATAAGTGCTTTTGAGTCATTTTGTATTATTGGCCACAAATTACTGTATTGTGATTGATTATGGCAAAAACAAAGTTTTCTAAAACATTATCACAAATAGCTAAAACCTAAAAGCTACAATAAGCACACATATTTTCTGTACATGGGTGCAAGTTAACCCTAAACTAAAATAATTACATTATTTATAAAATAAAATAAAAAGGTGGTTTTTGTTTTAATGATTTGTTGAATACGCAACCTGGAAATTAATCTGGAGTCGTTTAGAACGTGTTCTACAAGTATTTGGTCTCTCTCTGTCAATCTGCTTTGCACGGGATGACTCAATATCATTACAAATGACCTAAAAATGTTTCAAAGATGATACTTCTGTAGCCAACTGGCCAAAACGAACCATGTTAAGTGTGTTTGTTATTGAAACATTTATTTGGCCAAAACGGCACACACAATTCCATCCACTTATAACAATCTTACAATAGTTTTTTTTTAAATAATATGAATTTTGAACTTTTAGCAATCTATTTATCGCATAGATCATGAAATTGTATTTTAAATTTGAATTGTATTTTACTACTTTCTGTTGAAAGACTAGTATAAAGGAAAATTAAACATATTCCCAACAAAAATGTAACTTAAAACACAATTTACCAAATCTAGACGATAAAATGAGTTTGGTTTCCTTTTCTTGCTTTAATAATAATAATATTAAAAAAAGTTAAAACATAATAATGAAGTTACCTGCAGACGTCTTGATTTTCTGGTTGTAGTAGGTGTCATGTTGTTCGTAGGAGCGAGAGGAAGCTGTTGTGGTGAACGAGATCTGGTTACGTGAGCTGGTTGCTCAGGTGGGCTCTTGATAGTTAGAATCAATCTAGGACGTCCCGTTTCTTCCTCAGAGTCATCTCTGAATTCGTAAACATCGGTCGAAGGGGTGGGTGCAGTGTTGCTGTGCCTTGTCCTCCTTGTAGACACACCGCCTCCTCTTCCGACTGTTCTTTTTCTCCTTCCTCCACGACCTCCACGCACTGGCTGCATTTCTATTCTCACTGGTGCTACAAAAACAGTTTCGATGTTAAAAATATACAGAAATGCATTAGATTTTTTAAAAAATATTAATATAAAACTTACTTTTGTCTTCTACTGGTGTGTCATTAATCTCCGGTTCTTTGTGTGGTTTTGGAGATTTCATTTCAGGACTCTCATCTGAAGGAGTGAATTTGAGTGATATCTTTTCAGATGTTGGCGATTTCTTTTCAAAAATTGGAGACTTATTATCCCTTATGGGGGAGTGTTTTATTTCTAATGCTTCTTCATTGATTTCGACTTCTTCCTTTTTGACTTCTTTTAACATTTCTTCTACTGGTTCTTGTTTCTCTAGGTGGAGAACCTCTTTGGAAGGTTCATGAACAGTCATCTCTAAAGGTACAGGAGTCGTCGGGTTCTCCTTGACATCGTTGTTGCTACATTTCATTTCAGACTTTACCGATTCAATCCTGGCATTTATCAAATGTTCATTTTGGAGGTTATTATCTTTTAAAGGTATGCTCGGTTCGGTTTCTTTGTTTTCAATGGCAGTAGCCTTCTTCCTTAATGTCAGTTCTCTTACAACTTGCTCAATAGGTTTTGGCGTATCGACTTTCTGCTCATTTTGTGGCACTGTTTGCTTCCACATTTTATTAACGGCTCTCATTGTCAGGTCTTGAATTACAGCATTTAACGGTTTGGAATCATCGGGTTTTTTGGTTTGTAAACTCAAAGGTTCAGTCATTTCTTTAGTCAAATTCTGTGGACTGGGCGTCCTACGAGGTTCTTTCAGAGGATGGCCGATGTGTGTTTTCACCTGTGCTTCTTGAAGTGGCATTTTCATTTCATTTTCAGTCATTCTTGTTTTCAAATCTAAACCCTTGTTTTCCACTTTCTTCAAGTGCCAATCATTTGTGGTGAGATCATTTGGAGAATTTTTAATGACAGATGTCTTTTGGGCATTGACAGAGGTGATGGGCTGACTAGGAGATAGGTTTATGACCCTTTCAGGATGAGGTGCAGATTGCCCAGGACCATGAATGAGTAAAGAATTTGGGATAATTTGTGTCTTGGACTGAGGATAAGGTGTGGGTAATTTAATATGTTCTTCTATTTTGACAGGTTGTATCAAAGGGACTGGATTCGCCAAGCAAGGAAGCTGGGGTGTATTAAGAGGGGGCCTCGTAAGAGTTTGAACAGGAGACAGAGTGACGATAGGTCGGTTAATTTTCAAATTTTGTGGGCTAACAGCAGGTTGTGAAGTTATATGGGTGTTTTGCGTGACAACGCTAAGTTGCTTTTGGACATTGTGCACAGAAAAATTTGTAGGGACAGAGTTCGATTCGTTGGAAGGTAATGGACTCACAGATGGCTTTGTAACAGGTTGGACCACGTGCTGTTGTGGCTGTGGTGCAGGTTTAATCTGTGCTGGCTGAGTTTGAGGAGTTGGTGGATGTATTTGGGGAATCGGATTCGGCTTCATCTGAGGTACTGGGTATTGGAATGGTAACCGATGTGTAACAGGTCTGATCGCTTGTGAAGAAAACTGATTGGAAATCAATGGTGGTCCAAGCTGAGGTTTATTCTGAACAACATTGACGCTATCAGCTACCTTAGGCTGTACAACGACACTCGAGGAAACTGACAAGTTTACACTGTTTTCGGCTGTAGAAATCGATGAGGTAGGTGTTGAGGCCTTGAGGTCATAAGCAACAGGGCTGCTTGGATTAGTTCTATTTGGAGATGATGGTGTCTGAACTGTCAAAGGCAGATCATCTTGTGAAGGTGGTTTCATGATTTGAGCAGTTTGTATTTGCGGTTGCTGTACCAGGACAGTATTGACGGGTTTTGGTGATTGTTGTTGAATTGTTACAACCTCTACTTTTTGGAATAGACCGCTATGAACTTCAGGCTTATTCAGGGGTACAAGAGTTGGTACTGGGACTGGCATTTTTGGTGCTGAAATTTGAATTATCGGTAATGATTGACCTGAAACATTAGTATCTTCCGGTGCCTGTTCTGGTTCTTTGTCTTTCATAGAACTTTCTGATTTTTCAGGCTCTTGTTCTGACTCTTTTGATTCCATTGAAGTTGATTTGCAATCGTCTTCAATAAACTCATTTCTTAACTGCTTATCTTGTGATTCCTCTTGTACTTTTATCATTTCTGGGATACAATCTTTGTTAGCATTTTGTACTTGGTTGTGCGATTCCCCGTCGACTTCCATTGCATCATCAATGTCAATTTGTTTCTCAGTAATCACACTTTTCTCTTGATTATGAGAGTCATAATGTGTGGAATTGAGTTTTTTCTCAAATTTAAACTCAGTTGCATGATGTATTTGGAGTTTTGGAGCATCTTTCAAAGGGTTTTCTGAGGAACAAGCTAAAGACATGATCCTCTCTTCTAGACCTTCTCGGGATTCATTATGCCTGTAAAATGATCCTGGGGAGTCAGGAGCATTGGATGTCCTTGGAAAATCTATTTGATCATAGGTATCTTCTGTGTCGGTGTCAATCTGAAGATCAGGTTCTGACACAGGTGTATCAGGCTTTGGCGTACCTTCAGAGTACCCTTCGAATCCCCCGCCAAACGATATTAACAATGCAGCCACAGCATCTTCTGTCTCTTCTTGTGAAATAGTCGGAGTAGGTTTTTCTTCAGCAACAGTTGAATGATCATCATTTTTGCTTTTGTCGCTAAATTTTATTTCGGATTCATCTAATGTCGTGCAAGGAGATTCTGAAATGCTCTTAACAGCAGTTTCATGAATGGTTTCATCGACTTCTGAACCGAATCCAGGAATGTCAGGTTTCTTTGGCGTACTGCTTTGGGTGGGTGGAGGACTATCAAGAAGAGTATCCAGCAAGCAAGAAATGGTTGGTGGTTGAGGAATGATGTCTTGTTCTTCTTTAATTTCTGTTTTAATTTCATGTTGCATCATCATATTAATATCTCGGACTTCCTCAATTTCTTGCTTTACTATCACTTCTTTTGTTTCTTCCTTCACATTATGATGTTCAAGTACTATATCATTTTTTTCCTCTTTTGGTAGAATTGTGCTGACAGCTTTTTCTTCTAATCTTTGTTGATGGTGTTTAATTTTTTCATCTCTAGACTTCTTCCTCTTCTTCTTCTTTTTAATGTGTTCATTAGAGTTGACCATGTTTTCTGATGAACCCAAAAAATCACCTGAAAAATATCTTTCGTCGACTTCTTTGTGAAATTTGTCTCTCATTTTCTTTTCTTTCTTCCTTATGTTCTCTCGTTCAGATTCAGAATCCGAACCGTACACTTGGGAAACTTGCCATTTTCCAAGCGCTTTTTCAGAATCATCAGATAAAGGTCCAAAAATGTCTTCCAATTTTTCATCTCTCTTATTTGAACTTTCACGTTCATTTCTCTTTTTCCTAGCCTTCTTTTCATCGTCGTCTTTATGAGACTTTTTCTTTTCTTTTTTAGAAGAATGCTTTTTGATAGAGCCATCTTCGTTCTCTTCAAAATTCTTTTGCCTTTTTTGCTTTTTCTTATGTGATTTCTTTCTCGGCTGTTCTGAGACAATGCCACAGTCAATAGAATTTCTTCTGAAACTTTCTGGAGAAGAATGTAAAGGCTGATTAATGGTTTCGTTTGTGAGTTCACTATTATTAGTTTCATTTTTGTAACGGTTCGCTACTTCCGGTCTATTAGAATATATTTCATTGAGAGCAAATTCTTTAGTAGGATCAGTTCTTATTGAGTCTTCAAAACCCAAGTCTCCTTCACTATCATCTGAATGAATCCTAATCGGTTTCATTATCCTAGGTGTTGTCATTAGCCTGGAATTATCATCTTCGGACGTGTCAGACATTATTTTTCTTGTTTTTGGTTCTGAATCAAATGAAATGTTTCTTGATGTCTTTACCTTATTTGGAATGCGTTTTATAACAGTGTCATCCTCAGAAACATCAGAAATGATTTTTCTATTGCATTTATCATTTTCAAAAACATATGTATTTTTTCTGGATGAAACTATCATGTCATCTTCGGAAGTGTCATAAAGTATTTTTCTGCTTCTACTTCTTATGTCTCCTTCTGATCCTCCATCGTCCTCAGAACTTGTAAGCAAAAGCTTGTTGCGTCTAATACTACCTTTTTCAGAATCAGAATCCTCATCATAAGAAGTCGATCGTTTCTTTTCTTCTCTCTTTGCTCTGCTTTGTTTAAGTTGGTGAAACTTTTCTTTCAGTTTTTCTTGCCTTTTTTCTTCTTCCTGTTTCTGCATGTTTTTGGTAGATCTTGCTTTCACTTTGTCATACATCGAGATGTAAGCAGGTTCATCATCTACTATGTCAAAAATGGAATGCTGCTGACGTTTTCGTGCTTTACTTTCTTCGTCTCCACTGCCTAAATCACTGTCACTAGCAGTTCCATTTTCTCTAACACGAATCTTAAATTTTCTTTCTTCTTTTCTTTTCTCACCGCTGTTACGCTTTTCCTTGCGTGGTGCTGGTTTAAGAACCTTTTCCTCGTCTTGTCGAGTTTCCTGTTCATCCTTCTTTCGCATTTCTCTTTCTTTGTCTTCTTTGATCTTTTCTTCGAGCAGTTTTGTAAAACCTTTATTATTATGTTTTTCGCCACTACCCTTTCTGCTGCTTCCACTGCTTCTCCCACTGTCCTTGGAGTCTCTCCTTTCAGGTTTACTCCTCTTGGGATCTTCAGAAATGTCGAGGCTGTCTTGCGAACTTAACCTTCTTTTACATCCAATGGTTGCAGGCCAAGATGTTTTGTCCCTTCTCTTTTCTTTTTTAGCAGACTCAAGTCTCAGTTCATTACCTTCATATGTTATTGATGTTTTTCTACATTCGATGGGATCGAGACTGTACTCACCATCATGATCACCATTGACTTTGGTCTCATGAATGTCAAAATCTTTGTTCTTTTTAGATTTTTCTTTTTCTTCCCTATCTCTCCGCCTTTCCTCTATTTCCTTTTTGGCAGCGTGTAACTCTCTTTCCTTCCTTTTCTGTTCTTTTTCCTCCTTTTTTCGATCATTTTGCTCTTTTTCCTTTCTGAGACTTGAGTATTCATCTTTAGATGATTTTACACTGTCGTTCCATTCATCTTTCTTGTGGTCTTCTTTTTGTTTTGGCCCATCTAACACATCTTCAGTTTTCTTGTCTTCCTTTATTCGATGTCCATCTTTTTTATCGGTACTCTTGTGCCGATCGTGAAATTCATATTCCCTTTTCTTGTCCTCCTTCAAACGACAGTTTTCAGAATTATCTTCTTTCGACTTACTATCTCTGTGATGTTTAAATTTGCTGTCAGTGAAATCATTCTTTTTCTCGTCTTTAGTTTTTGAATTATCTTCCTTTAATCTGTCGATATACGCATCAAAGTTATTCTCCAAAAATACATCTTTCTTTCTATCGTTTGCTTTATTTTTATCAGGTACTTTTTTATGTTTGGGATTGTCGTTTGAACTATCAGTACTCTCCCTGGCTCTCCTCTTGTCCCTTTCAGCATTGACAACGAAAGTATCTTTCTTCTTGTCATAAAGTTCGGTCGAGTTGTGCCTTAAGACAGACTCATTATCCTTCCGCCTTTCAAAGTTGTCGCTCGATTTCTTCAGTTTTTCTTGTTCATTACTTCTTAAACTGTCATTAGATTTTTCTATAGATTCAGTCTGATTAAATTTTTTAAGATCATTTTTTTGTTTAATAGTTTCCATATCTGTCGATATATCTAATTCAGAACTAATTCGTCTCCTCTCTTTTTCATCTCGTTTATTATCACTAACTATGTCCTTAGGCCTATCACAAACAATGTCTTTAGCTACAGAGTCTTTGCTCTCTACACTGTTCCTCCTTTTTTCTATCGCACTTTTTCGCCTTTCACAAACTTGAGCGTCTTTCACTTTATCACTTTCACTAGTGTCATCTTTTTTAATTGCACTGTCCGGAATCATCTCGTCACGAGATTTTCTTCGCAGTTCGGCTTTCTCATCCACACTATCCCTTCGCAGAGGGCACGGTTTGGATTTGAGTGATGTAGGGAGATCCTTCTTAATTGTTTGTGAGATAGGAAGAGGACATTTGTTTTTGAACTTGTCCGGTGGTTGCGTGGACGGTCTCGGACTAGTTTCAATAGGAGTTGAGGGAGAAGGAAAAATCTTTGGTTGAAGAAGGCGGGAACAATTAGAGAGGAATGTTGGCGTCGTATTCTGTTTCATCTCAGATGCCAGCGTTAACGCCGGCTGGGCAGGAGTACTGGCTGTGACCACAGAACCTGACAACTGGGCTGGTGGATGGCTAGGAAATGGATATTGAAGCCCTGGGGATTTACTTACAGGAGAAGTCAAAGGAGACATATCCAACCTCCTGAGAACATTCGTCCTGCTCGTAGGAACGAATTCCCTTGGTTCATACTTGTCACTAAAGTTCTCCAATCTCTTTGAGTCTTCATCAAACACCGATCTCTTGGCAAGGACAGATTTGACAATGTCCGAGGGTTGCAGATCATGAAGATCAAGATCTAGTAACTTGATGTGCCGCACTTTTAATGTGGAAGGATCAACTTTTGTCATACCTGTTCTTGAACCGGTCCACTTTTCATATTTCTCGTCTAAGGAACGCAGCCTTTCTTCCCACTCGGGTGGGGGAGGAGAAGGCTCGGAGTCCGAAGACGAGGAATGAGGGGTCTGTGGAGATGCTGGAGGACTAGGTGGTGCAGGCCTTGGAGACAACACCTGGGATGCAAACCTTGGGAGTGGTAAAGACAGTGGATCGGGTGGCCTTTCTCTCGGTGCTCTCCTAGGCTCCATGGGGGGTAAATTTTCGGGCCTTTCATCACAGAGAGGGGTACCCGGTCTACTACCATCACCACTCTGGCTTCTCCTATGTTTACACCTTCTTCTTCCAGCACCCTCTTCTCCAGAGCTTGGACAATCTTCTAGTTGTTCTAGAAGTGCTACTCTTTCCTTTTGCAAGTGCCTAATATCACCTGTTCCAGGTCCAGTAGTAGTTGAAGCTGTAGAGGGTGGCAATGAAGGTCCATCTTCCATATTTGAATCTTCATAACTCCTAAAGGAAAAAAAGACACAAATACAAAAATATGTTTTTGTAAGATGATATAAAAACAAGTAGATTTTTAAAAAGTTTGTTACCTATAGGATCGCCGTTCATTGATGTATTCAGAAAACTCGAACCTTTGTGAAGTCGAATGCCGTGAGGAACGTATAGACGTAGACGGAGAAGCAGTGTTTGATGTTGCTGGTGATGTCACCGCAGGCCTGGAATATGATCTTGATGCAGCCCCACTACTTGAATATCTATTACTGGTGCCGATTGCAGTCGGAGTACCCGTAAAACGTGCGCTACTCGGTGCACTTGGTGCGGCTGAAGAAACAGTCTGACTATCAAATACCCTCGAACTCGTTGAAACCGTGCTTTGCGGAGAAGCTTGAACACTGAAATTTTCATCAAGATTAGTTGTACGAAAATTAAATTTTAAAATTTTTATCGTACTTGTTTTCAAAAGATGGATGATTTGTATTAGACTGCTTTTCCAATCGGTCGTAAAATGCTTCTTGGCATTCTCTCGAGGCGTAATCTACTTGAAGCTTTCTCCCTCGAAGCACAACGCCTCGCATTTCTTTCACTGCTTGTTGCGCATAAGTAATCTGAAAAGCATAAGTGTTAGTTCCAAAAATATTAACTATTTTAATTAAATTTAAATGAAGAACTTACTTGTTCAAAGAAGACAAGGCCATGTCCTCGGACTCTGTCTATAACAACATGTGTCACAGGGCCAAATTGTCCAAATTGTTGACTCAGGTACTTTTCTGAAACTGTGTCTAAAAATAAAAATAAATAAATACTATAGTTTAGTTTATGAATTTTTTAAACAATCAGTTGAGTGTTAAGTTGTAGGCTTTACCTGAGACCCCGTCGACCCAGACACAATTTGTGTGCATGGATTTACCAAAACCGAGTTTAATCCGGTTACTCCCTATGTGCTCCCCGTCAAGGGTCCTCATTGCTTTCACTACGCTCCCTATGTCGGAAAATTGGCAAAAAGCATATGAAGAAGACGTACCTTGCTTCTTTATGTCAATATCCTGAAATGCAGCGATTCAGTGTTTAAAGAAACAATTTTAGTCAGTTTAATTTAATGGGCAAATAAGAGAAGATAAACTGACAAACTTCATTAAGGTTGAAAAGTGTAAGCAATAAAATGAAAAACACTTACAATGATTTCTCCAAATTGTTCAAAATGCTTGCGTATTTCTTGTGTTGTAATATCTTTTTCAAGGTTTCCAATAAAAAGCGTTCGAGTTGCTTTTGGATGAAACTCATCTTGCTCTGCTTCAAACGGCCTTAAAACACAAATGTAAAAGTTAGTTAGATTAACAAAATAATAAAACAAAATAAAAATAATATAAACTATTAGATTAAAAATTAATAACTGAAAACTGAATATTAAGTTATTTACCTGAATTCATTATCATCGACATCATATCCCTGGTATGGGGCAACTTCTATCTTACATCCAAAGAACAATTTGTCATGCGAGACTTGGAGGGCTTTGTCTACATCTTCTGGTTTCTTAAAACATACCAGGGCATACCTATCAATCCCTTGGCCCACCACTTTGACCCAGGTCACCTTCCCGTGTTTTTTGTATTCGTGGTATAGACCGTCTTTTAAGCTCGTATCTACCCGAAAAAAAAGGAGTTAACTCATATTTTACAAATTTATACAGCGTACAATATACCTGATGACCGAGCAGGAAGGTTCCGCACACAAATCGCAAGTGGCCTCCTGTCATCGGAATGAACTGCCGGACTGTTGGAGTTGGTATGTGTCACCGTTAGAGCAGACTGAGGTCCACTCCTTAACGTACTTTGTTGGCTGTGTTGTGAACAAGATTTCTCAGATGTAGGTGATGAAGATGCAGTCGAGCAAGTACTTGAACCAGAGTGACTCGACGCTGAGCTTGATCTTGATCTGCTTGAACCAGAATTTGACCCTGTATCACTTCCTGACCTCCTAGATATACTAAAAACCAAAAATACATTAAGAATATATCTTGACATTACAGAACAAAATAATACTTTCTCAAGAATCTACAATTCTTTTTAGGCCAGTCAGACCCAACAAGTCTGGAATACCAGCTTACCTAGATTTTGAGTGTTTTTTATGTACAACGGGAGTTGTTTCTCGTCTTTCCTCACTATAGGGGAGTTCAGGTGTCGAGGGTACTTGGCTTGAATATCTTGGGCTGGGACTATCGTAACCCCAGGATGAGCCCACTCTATGGTGACTGCTCTGATTCCTACCAACAACTCTGTAACAAAACAATCAAAATATTACTTTACACCCTACATGTGGATATATTTAATTCTGACAAATTACTCAATTTTTGTTCGCTATTAAAATAAAACTCAAGTTTCAAGTCAAATGTTCTTTAGACTTTTTAAATTTAAGCCTTTCCAAAAAGCTTAGAAATTATTAATGAATTAAAAAATATATGACTATTCGATTTTTCTGTCAGAATTACACAGCACAGGAAAACTGGACTCTGTTCTGGTTTTCGTGATTCCTTTTAATTGAAAGAACCTCACTATATGATGAAATTATTAATAAATATTCTATATAATTAGCATGACTATATTCCGTATATTTGATTAATCCAATCCCCAAATCCAAAGCTTTTGTCAGAATTTTACAAATAGAAATTAACATCTGATAACAACAGAGAGGCCAACCACTCAAAACAGTTTAAGGAAACCTAGCACCAGTCCAACACAAAAATGTCGTTTTGAGGTCATCAGCTAAATTTAAAAAATAAATAAATAATAATAAAAATATTTAAAAAAATAAATCTCCAGGCAATATCATATGCCCAGCCTATGATAAAAAATTTGTCAAAAAGAATCTTCAATGAAATTTACAATAGAAATGATGAAGGTGGGGTGAGTATGTAGATTCACTTCTTTTTAATGCCACTCAATTTTGAACGTGCAAAAAACATAAATTACAACACAACTAAATATTATCCTAATAAATACCTTAAGAAAATAATTTTAAATTAGTTATTAATTTGTATGCCAAATAATATTTCGAGAGATTCAAGGTTCAACTCGTTCAAGCTGATGATGGAGCGGTTAATGCTTGAAATCAAAATAGTTGCAAACAACCAATCAGTGAGTAGAACCATTATTTATAAAAAGTCTTATACAATGTTAAAATTACAAATTTACCCAATTCCCAGATGAAATCATGATTCATTAACCTAAAAAAGACCTAGCTGGCGCTTGATCTGTCTTGTATCAATATTTCCTAAAACCCATTAAACACACTTTGATTTTATTATACCCATTTTTCAATTTAGTTTTTCACCAAATCTATTTTTTAACAAAAATTAAACAAAGCCACCAAGCACTTGGGCCTCTTTAATAAATCTTGTGTCTCTTTATTGAAACCAAAAAGACTTTTGGTCGACTTTGGCACTCCAACCTACTCTACTAAATTAAACTATTAGTAATTCAGTCCTTTCACACTGATAGAACATCTAAGAACAGGGTGAACATGTTAAGGGGATATGTAGGAATCATATTACAAACAATACAACATCCAAGAACACTTTAGTGCTGATCTGGAAATTGGACAGAAACTTTCATGCATGTGTTCATTACCACAGCCACGGTTCAATTTAATTATTTATTAATCCATATATTTTTTAATTAATCAAAGTAATGATTTAAATTGATTTATATAATTTGTATGTGGTTGAGCTATCATGACTTCGGTCCCCCAGGACACCAACTCATCAACCTCGGGACACCAACTAATCAACCACACTGCATAAAAATTATAAATCAATTTAAATAATTATTTTGGTTAACTAAAAAAACGTTGAATTAATGAATTAATATAATAATTACTGAAGTACCTACACTTCGCTAATAGCTCTCGTGGCGACTTCATGTGATGCTATGAATCAAATCCGATTACACAACATTTCAATGTATGCCAAAAAGAGGGAAACATGAAAATGTAAGTTAAGATGATGAGTTGGTGTCCCAGGAGACTGAAATCACAATAGCTGAGATGGTTATAGCACAGGGGTATAGAGCCAGACGTCGTACTTTCGAATCCTGCCCATGACTTTAATTTTTTACCTCAACCACATTTTACATAAAAATTATAAATTAATTATTTGTGTTATCAAAACAAAGAGGACAGACTGAAACAGTAAGAATAGATAAAAATGGTCAAACATCATCAGGCTCATCACACTGTAGTTCTGAAGAAGAAATCTCACAAATATCTGACTCTCAGAAATCAGAAGTTAAAATCTTTAAAATTTCTTCAAATTTAATTTTCTTCTTTACTTTTCTTTAAATCTTAAAAAACGGACACAACTAACAAAATAAAAGAAATACCAATCACTGAAGATGGTAAAATTCTGAATCACGCCTGACAGACCCAACCAGTAAGGATAGGCAGATCAAAATGATCAGAAATGACCAACCTACAAGTTCACCACACTGCAAACCTCAAGAAGAAATTTATAATATATAAATTCACCCAGAATTATCCTTTATTTTTTTAAATCCTATAAAATGGCATCATTCAGACTGACTGGCTGATTCACGCCTGTAAACCAAAACAGTATAGGCAGTAGGCAAACAAAACCAGAAATGACAAGAGAAAAACAAATCATGTCATGTAGGTAATGCTAAATATTTTCAAAATGAAACGTAATTTTTTATAAATAAATTGTTTAACATGTTATTTTTTTATTATTATCTCTTCTTATATGTACAAAACTTCATATTAAAGAGGAAGAAGATAAATGTGAAAAGGAACAATTGAAATATGACCTCTCGGTCATTACAGCCCGTATATACGGGCGTTTTTTTTTATTTTGGAATAGTGGATTTCATAGAATTTCTCCTTGCTTGAAAAGCGCTGTGGTTCCAGGGAAAAATACAACAAGAATTATAATTGTATATTTTTCGTTCTTTCAAAAAAGTATATATCTCTGGTCACACACAGTGCGACACCACCAAGTCTTGACAAGGGTTGAAGAATCCTTTTTAAGAAGACAGGTCCTACTCACAGTTTGCTGTGCACAGTGTTTTGCAAATATCGGGATTTCGAGCCCTTAGCTCATCATCAGGTTGAAGGATTCCTACAACCACGTCTCTCGACACGAATTGCAAAAATGAACCCACCGATACCCCTGCCAACGCGACGTTCCAATGAGAAGCTGGTTTTTTAATGGGCTCAATTTGAACGTGCTAAAAACGGGAATTATAACATAAGTAAATATTATAATAGTAAATACTGTAAGAAATTAATTATAAATTAGTGATTAAAGATCAAAGATAAAAATTAGAATAATATCTTACTATTATTAAATTATTATAAAAATAATAATAATTAAAATAATTAATTTAATTATTTGGACGTTTAATATTATTTATGTACATATACAAAATGGGAGGTAGATCAAAATCTATTATATTATTAATGCACTTATTTCCATGTTCAATTTTACATTTTTTAATTTCAAATTTCTCAAACCAATCTAGTTCTCTCCCTTTGTTAAAACTATGTAACACTGTTGTATTTAAATTTGGATTGAAATTGATTGTTTTTTTTGTTTTTTTTTTTAATATGGTCCTTAAATTGCGAAAATTGGTTCGATTTAGGCATGTGTTCTTTTGCTCTCGTTTTTATTTCTCTACCGCTTTGTCCTATATATTTAATATTACTATCATTACAATTAAGTTGGTGAACCCCGATTTTTGCCAAGTTGTTTGTCTTTATGTTTTGAGAGGATGTTTTTAAGTGAACCCGTACTTCTAAAAGCTATTTTAACCTTCTTGTATAAAAATTTTACTAACTTTTTCCGATAATTCACCAATGGCAAACAACGGAAACCTAAGGATTCATTTTATAGTGGGGTGGCTAAGTCCTATTGTAGATTATTTTTAAGTTAATTTTTTATTCTTTTAACTAGCAACCTACCAATAAATATTTCTAAGATACCCATTGTTTTTTGCTAAGGTTTTAATAGTTTCTAATTCTTTATTATAGTTAGCAGGTGTTGATGGAAGTTTTAACGTACGGTCTCTAGAGCCAAATGAAACCAGCAGCCTTTTGGGACCATGGGTGGGAAGAATCTGCATCATAATGTCTGCAGTTGTGGGATTCTATATACGTCTATTTTTATTAGGTTGTTTATTATGGACAATTTTAGGTCTAAAAAGTTCAAACAACCGTATTTGTTAATTTTCAATGTAAAATTTATATTACGGTGCAGAGAATTAATTAGTTGGAGGAATTCTTTGAGATCCTCTAATGTTCCCGACCATACGCATAAAATATCGTGTACATAACGTTTCCAAAAATGAACATATTTAATTAATTCGTTGTTTGATTAGAAAAGATTTTTTTTCTCGAAATTATCCATGAATATTTCGGCACAAAGTGGGGATAATGGAGACCACCATTGGTAACCCTTTCATTTCGTAAAATTTATGATTAAATTTAAAATAATTATATAGTACGCATATATTTAAGAGGCCTATTGTATATTTTTTACAAATTCGTCAATAGAATTCTCGGTAAGTTTTTGCTTTATGAGTTTAGTACATTCTTCAACGGGGATATTTTTGAATAAATTAGTAACATCAAATGACACTAAAACACAGTTTTTGGGTATATTGATGTTATTTAACTCTTTTATCAATTCTAAAGAATTGTTAATACCGAATGTAAGTTTGAAATTGGTGTGGTTTTTAATTATTTTGTCAATTGTACTAGCAAGTTTATAGCATGGGGAATTATAAAAGGACACTACTGGTCTTATAGGTTTGTTTTCCTTGTGAATTTTGACTGTACCGTACAACATCGGGGGTTTCGGGTTCATTAGTATTAGTTTTTTAACTGCATACTGGTTATCTGAGAATAAAAAATCACTATTTTTTATGGCTGTTTGAACTTAAGTTTTTAATTTTAAGGTGGGATCTTTTTGTGTTTCTTTACAGTCATTACTATTTAGGAATTCCTCAAGTTTAGAAACGTAATTTTGATGTTCAATGATAACTATACTATTTCCTTTATCGGCTTTTAAAATAACGTTGTTGTTAGTTTTTTACTTTTTATCAATAGAACTAATTGTACGTGGGATATTTAATTTTTTGACGTTTAGATTTACCAAGTTTTGTTTAATTTCAGCACATTTATTGTTTTAATATTTTTGTTTTAATTATTTCAGCACCTTTATATTTTATATTTGTATTTATATTACAACAATCTACCAATGAACGAAGAGATAGTAATTTTTTTGTATCCAATTCTGTTTTAGGGACAAATTTTAAGCCTTTGTTTAATAAATTGTTTTCTTCTTTATTTGTTAGTACTATGTTAAGTTTATAACCCTTAGGTAAAATTTAACTGGAGTTTTTGGGTCTTGAGTAGTTTTAAGTGTACCGTACTTTAAGTTTTTAACTTTTTTATCTAATATACTTTGTTTTTTACCAATGATAAATTTAACATTTGACCGCGTATCATAATCGAATTCGTCCCATTCTACTGGAGACGATAGTGAGGAAAGCCTAATGTGTACAATATATCGATAAAAACGTTTTGTATCTCTTTGACTGTACAATTTATGTAATTCATTATTTAAAATGGTTTTTTGGCATTTACGTTGTAAGAGAGTTGAACAGTTCTTAATATTTAATTGAGCAAGAACGAATTTTGGGGTTAGATTTAATTTCAAACATTGGGAATTGAACCAGATTGATTTGTTGATTTTTGAGCATGAAAGTCTCAATTTATAATAAAGATTTAAAAGTACTTGTTTACTTACAGATTTTAAGTAAGTGGAGGTAATATTGATTGTGTTAGAATCCATTACTTCCCAGTGATCCTACTAGGGTTCTCTTTTTTTTCAAAACTAGCGTTTCGTTAATAAATGAACCACAAGCCGACCACGGTTTATATTTTTAGGATCGATAGAAGTTTCGAAAAAAGTTTAACATTTTGATCATTGGTTCAGCAGTTTTGAACACTTGTTACTTGGAAATTCTCTCTAGACTTGATAATGGTTAAGTCCTTTGACTCCCATCGCATAAGCACCGTTAGATATTATCCAGATTGTAATCAAAGGACTGCTTATTCGCCAAGGTCTTGAAAGTGAGTTGTTTAGAGTTTTCCCCCTTAGATATGCAATAAAACCTCCAACCTTATATTGCAGAAAAAAATGCAAGCTAATTTTTATAACAAGGCAGACAAACAGTTTTATTATGTTGAATGTATTACCTCCGAGGGGTGTAGGTAATATTATATTTGTTAAGAGCAAATTACAAGCTTATATTAAACGAAAAACACCTTAAAATATCATTTTATGTATTGGTTTTTATTAATTCCATGGTAAAAAAGGCTGAAATCAAACGGATATCTTAAAAAACTACTACTTTCGCTGAATTTAGTTCGAAGAGTCCAAACATTTTTGCAGTAATGTTGCCAAATTTAACAAAAAACAAAGACTATAAAACATTTACATATTTGTTTAGACAAATTCCAAATTAAACAGGCTACAATATAATGAATATCTTATAAAAAAAATTCTAAGTAATATTCCAACAGTTCAAACATTTCTGTAATATTTCTAAACTGAAAACAAAAGCTTACAATAAAAGTTTATTTGTTTTTAAAAATGTCCTATCTCAAGGAGCAAAAAACCAAACAAATATCTTACAAAATATGTATTTCCACAGACTGGATTAATGTTCCTACGACCATCTGTAATGACGTTACCTAATCTGTCAAACAAAAACATACTAAAATACACTTGACTATCTTAAAAAAACATCCACTTCCTTGATTGTTTCTTTGGAAGTGGATGTTTAAGATAGTTGTGAAGGGTGTTTTAGTAGGTTTTTGAAAAAATTTGGTTTTGTTGTAATTTCTCTTAATAGTGGCAGACTAAATCCAATAATATCTTACAAAACCTACCAATATTTCTGTAATGACGTTACCTAAACTTTTACACCAAAAGCACACCAAAAACCAATTTTTTTTTAATAATACCTACTACAAACCATTTTCTTTCTAATTTATGTCAAACAGGCTTAAAAATAATGAATATCTGTAATAACATCTATCTCCAAAGAATGAATCCATGTGGTAATTTCATGTCAAACAGGCTAAAATAAACGAATGTTACACTTAGTTATTGCACTTTTTTTAGCAAAGTACAATCAAATATTTACATTTTTTTTTTTTTAAATCACGGTTTACTACGTTTCCAGCCAACGAATATCTTTAACAAAAATCTTTAAAACAAAAGCCTACTTAAAAACTAATTTTTTTCTTTTTAATTCATGGAAAACAGACTGAAATCCAATGAATATCTTGAAAAATGTCCACTTCCACTAGCAGGAATCAATTTCCTGCTTGCCCAACAGCCCTGTAATGAATTTTAACTAAACGTTTATTAAATCAAAACCTTCCAAAAACTTAAGGCAACATGTTGAAATCTAATAAATAAATAAAAAATAAAAAATTTATACAACATTCAATTCCACATTCTGAATCAATGTTCCTAATCAAACATTTCTGTAATGACGTTACCTAAACTTTTAAACAAAAACACTAAAAAAACATATTTTTTATGTTTAATTTATGGCAAACAGGCTGAAATCCAATGATTGTTAAAAAAACACTCTTCTACAGACTGAATCAATGTTCTTACAAATAAAACAGATTATTATTTCCTAATACCTCAACACCCACTTTCAAAGACTGGTATCAATGTTGTAAAAAAACCTAAACTTAAAAAAATTATTTCATTCAGCAAACATGCTGCTAAATCAATAAATATCTTTAAACAAAATCCACTTCCAAAAAATAGTTTCATGTCAAACCGGACAGAACCCAACAAATATATTAAAAATATATCCACTTCCACACACTGGATCAACGGTCCTACAATCCAAACATTTCTGTAATGACCTAAACTGTCAAGTGAAGATAATTTTTTCTTTTTAATTCATGGCAAACAGGCTGCTAACGAATATCTTTAAAAAACATCGTTAAAAAAATGAATCATTTTTTGTTGTAATTTCCTACCAAACAGACTAAATAAAACTTACTAATCTCATTTAAAAAAAAAAAAATCACTTCCAAAGATTGACTCCAAGTCTACCACAAAAATATTTCTGCAATGTCACCTACCTAAACTTTCAACCAAAAACTAACGACAATAATCAATTTGATTTTTAAAATTCCACGTCAATCGTGATAGAAGAAAACAAATATCTTACAAAATAAACATTTCAACAGACTGGATCATTGTCCACATAACTAAACATTTCTGTAATGATACTTTTAAACAAAAATCTGATACAAAACCACTTTTTTTCTTTTTAATTCATGGCAAAATAGGCTGCTCCAATCCAACGAAGATCTTAAAAAATGTCCACTTCCTAAGAATAAATCAATGTTGTAAATTCATGTTAAACAAGCTAAAATAGAACAAATGTTCAAAAACACCTCCACAGAGTTGTTTCTCTTACTTCGTTACTACACTTGTTAACAAAAACTTACTAAATTATAAATTTTTGTAATCTTTTAGGCCTAACTGCCTAAAATGGATTAAATTTTTCGAACAATATCCATAGTAGTAAAATAATATTCCTACTACTCAAATGTTTATGGAAAATAAAATTAATTTTCTTCAACAAAATCCACTATCGTGTTACAGGTTTGTTTGTCGTACATTACCAATTTTAATTAGTAGCCAAAAATAAATGGAAAAACAAATAGAACTGTTGGTTTATTCGAGTTTGTACAATCTACCCTTTCACTGAACATTATTACTTCAAAACATGTCGCAAGAGGCATCTAAATCATGTTTTTACATATCGACTAATAAACGAATCTAGTTGTTTTTTTGTTTTTTCCTGATGAGGCAACAGGGTGAAAAATTTGACACGCAGTACCGACTGCCCCGAGAATGGCAGCACTCGTGGACAACGAGAGGGTAGTTGTATTAAGATTGCCCGAAGGGGGAGATTTAAGGGCGGCGGAGTGGAGTAGGAGGATGAGAGACGGAGAGGAGGAGCGAAGGCAAAGAGAAATCAATAGCAAAGAGAAGGGGCGATGTTGCCGGATCTAGCCCACGGATATGTTGCTGAGGGGGGCCTATTCAGAAACCTCTTCGGCAGGCCATGAACATCCGAACACAGAAGAAGACACGAAGCCCCCGGGCCACGTAATTCACCCCCAAAAAGGTAAACGGACGGACGACTTACCGGCTGTGCCTCACGAGCTCATCGTTCTCCGACGATTTCCTCGGTTCTCCTATCCTCTGTTTAGAGTCCCTGGAAGAAAAAATAATATTAAAATGGAGAATATTAATATTTAAACATAAAAACAACCATGAAAATACAAGCAACTGAGCTAAATTGAATTGACCTTATGTGCGTGCTTTCTCTGATTTCACATACTTTGGAACTGGTCTGTTTTGTTTTTCGATGAGCTATTCTGTACATGAAAGTTTTCAAGTCGTGAAAAGAATTTTAATTATCTAGTTTATGAATTCAGAGATTCATCGTGATTTTAAAATATTCCTATTCATCCAATGCTAAACCTAACTAAATCAGTAGTGGACATTTGGATTGTCTTTGGGGATTATGTTCATAACATTAGGATTTTAGCACTTCCCAAGCTTGAGAGAATAATTTACTACTTCATATGAAATTTTGGACCAAGAACCTTCTGATGTATAAACTTTCCGCGACTTAACCAGATCAGTTGTGAATTGACATTACTTTAGCCCACACCGTGGGATTTTTAGCATTTTTCTAACTGCACAGTGTACATTTCTGTGTAAAATTTGATACAAAACTACCAAATACACCAATGATTCTGAATTTCTCTCTATTTACAAACATCCAATGTCCACTGCGAATTAACGAGATCTATTGTGGATGTCAAGTCCATGCCATTCAATATTATTAGTTGATAGAAATAAACAAACTTTTTTTTGTGAGGAAATTTGGAAGAAAATACCTAAGACTAGTAAAATCTAATTTTACTTTTGGGGGCAATTGTTGATGCGTAAACCTTCCTATCACCTGCGACTTAATGAGATCTGTTGTGAATTGACATTATTTTCGTATATACCGTGGGATTTTAGTACTTTCCTAGGCGCATCACAGACATTTCTATGTGAAAATTTGAAGTGAAGAAAAAAGTCAAAACCTTTGTAAAATCTAGTCTTGCTTTTGGGGGTTATTGGTGATGTGCACATCTTCCTTTCACCTGCGACTTACGAGTTCTGTTATGAATTGACATTATTGTTGTGGGATTTTAACATTTTCCTAGATGCAGGGTAAGTAACATACTTTTATGTGAAAAAATCTGCTTCAAATCAGACCTTTGTAAAATCCAGCATTGGTTCTGATGCCAATAATAAACAAGTTAAAAACAAAACATGCACAATGAGACCCAACAAGATCTATAATGAATCTATATCCATAGCATTTAACCTTTTCCTAGGTTTAGAGTTTCAACCATTAGAGTAATTAAAATTACAGTAAATGTGGTTGTGGTTTTGAACAGCTCCACATCCGTTGGACTATATCTGGTGTGGATCGATTACTTCCATACTTTACAATTTTAATATTCCCTTCCCAAGGTTCAGAGTAAAACATGGTCTTATACTTAATCTTATTATTACGTCTGAAATAATATTCTTATACTTCTTATTATTTATACGTCAAAATATAGTATAGAAAAGAACCAAAAAGCTTTGTAAAATCTAATGTTGGTTCATGGAACCTTGGTGATTCCAACCTCCAATGTCCATTTACTAACATGTTTTTACTGTACATACATGTCCATACCACAAAAAATTTCAGTATTTTGGCACTTTTCTAGGTGCCAGACTTTCTTTATGCGTTCCTAAATGATGATGCCATATCCGGACTTTAGTCACATAGACGTGTCGTCTGCTTCTCCTTGGCACAGTCGAATAAACATCTCAGCCCATTGTCTTGAGGTGATTTCAATGTGCCATAATCAATGAAGAGGATTGTAGTACATCAATCCAGCGATTTTTGTCTTCCTGTTTAAAATAGTTATGGATTTTCTTTACATTGTCTCAAACCTGATATTTTAGCCCTGTGGGAAATTTTTCTTTCCTCCATCTCAGTTCAGTTGCACTTCCAGCATACTTTGCCGTGTGCTTAATCGTGGTCCTGGTTCTACTTTAAAAGCTCCAAATTCCTTATTTTCATTATTTTTCTTTGTTAGTTTATTTTAGGCTCTTCCAGACTATATATGAACACATTCTCATAAAATTTTATATATGCTTATGATGTGATTTATGAACATTTACATTTTCATTTTGCCAAAGCAATGTCAATGATGAAAACACAATACTTAACACAAGTCTTATTAAAAACAAGTTCATTATTTTTAAGCAAAAGAGCCCAGATGATATTTTATTGTTTATTATGCAAAAGTAAAAGGTTAGGGAAAGAAATGTAGATTTTTTTGTCTGTTTGTATCCTAATGCCCACTAAACAACAAAGTATGGTGCCTTGGTAAATGTCAAACGCCAAATTTTAATAACTGTAAGGTTTGCACGTTGTCCTTAGCCGTTCCAGACAAGTTTTTTTTATATATATGTATACTCTTGTGTAAACTATAATATAGAAATATTTTACTTTCTAACATGGCTGTATAGTTTAGCTTGTTATAATCAAGGGAAAAATCCGACCTGATTGAGAATTGAAATAAGATTAAGCACTCCAGCGTTTTTTGGCCTGTCGAACAACAACAGGATTTTGAATAATGTTAAGGAAACGTAATAACGTAAAACTTATTTCACCATAGTTTTTTCTACATTTTTTTGTTGATAAATTATGCGATTTGTCTTTGAATATCATAAAGCCTGCATATTTGCAGTCCATCATCCCAGATCATCCTGATTTCTCGTCTATACTCTCTCTGATATTTAACCATCAAGACCTACCTACCAATGTTTAAGATTTGGAGAAGAATAAAGTGAATTTAGGCCAGTAGTTTCTAGCAACAACGCATGACTAAAATGGGTCAAGATCTTTAAACTAAAAGCCAAGTATTTTATTTAGGTTTTACATAATTTCATGTCGTCATAAAACCGTCGAGTGCATTGTTTGAAACGCATTCGGGATGGAAAAGGCCAATTATATTTCTATTTCGCGGCGAACAACCAACCTTGTTTTTGTAAATCCTTTTGAATAGAATGGATTGTAACATTATTCCAATAATTCATCTCCGATTTCACTCAAGGTTTCCTTGGCAATTACGGTTCAATTGTAATACGAGTCGATTGTTGGCTTCGGCGTCTTTTCTTTTCGCCGAAATGCCTGGATATGTGATTTTGATGACAATACGTCAAGCCAGACGTGGAACCTTGGGAAAAACTGTCGACAGTTACCAGTGGTCTTGCTTGAACCGAGTGAACTATTCTTCCAGAGTTACAAAAACGTATCAAAGATGGGGAAATAATTCTAAACAAAACTACTGATGAACCTGTTTAGTTCAAAATTAAATAGCTCTAGGAAACTGGATTTTTTAAAAATGATTTTTGTATGAATTGTTCTTTACTTTTAACTCAAAATGTGCCAGATGTGCATACTTCCCGTCGCGGCACGTTGAGTTAACAGTTTCCCAATTCGCTGAACCGTTAAAACGAAAAAGTTCCTAATCCTCCAAACTTCTCAACGGCCGCACCGATAAAGTTTCTCTTTCCTTTTAAATAATTAAAGAAAGACGGAATTACACGGGATAATTTCGCCAGTAAACATCCGCCAACAGCGAGGGGGAAATGTCGGATTAAAGCAAAAACCGCAAGAGAAAAATCGTTCCGAAGAAATACCGCTGTAAAATTCGAACGGTTAAATTTAACGGTCGGGATGTGGCATAAAATATGACTTCTCGAGAGTCATAAAACCCGGTCACACATGAAAAGTACCGTTCACCTGCTAAATGATAATCGTGTTCGGCGAAAATTAACATTATTGAAACGTCCGCGAAGTTTTTCTTTTAAAACCTGACCCAGACATCTTGACAATTATTTAGGCCAACAGGATTTAACAATTTTTCAAAACTAAGCTGGTGGTATAAAATTAAAGGTATACAGGTATGAAAATGCATTAACTAATCCTCGCAGGTAACTGGGGAAAATTAAGTCTACATGCCAGGAAATGCAATATACAAGGTACCTTTAAAAAGGAATATCAATTTCAATTCAGCGGGACTAAATAAACATTATACCCTGGAATATTTAGATCTAGTCCGCGCATTCTCGCTGTTTATCTCACGCGTACGGAGATCTGTCTGCCAATTAAACTTGGCGCTACAAAATAGACAATTTGACATCGGCTAAAACGAGGGTCCGTCTAATCTCGCTGAATATACTAACCTTTGCCTTATCAGCGACTGTATTATTCATATAGTTATATGAATGTATACGGCAATAATAAACGATGTTTGCTATCAAAACTGGTCATAATTTCTCTTATTGTATTAAAACCTAGCAACTTTCTAAATAAAAATTATAAACGATAAAAAAAAATCAGCGATCATCTGGAGGCGAGTCGATAAACATTTAACTGAAGGTTGGAAAACCTCAAAACTATCCATGAACGAAATAAGATGTCCATAGGGCAAAAAATTTGCATTAACGCATGAAAAAAATAGATGGTAAGCACTTAAATGTGTCAAGATTGTAAAACGAACTCATTAACGAAATAAGTGAAACTTAAATTTGAAAAACTAAAACTCAAAACAACGCAGTGACGAAATGACTTGAATTTAAAATGCTAACTCACAAACGAGATAAGTGTAACTTAAATTCGTAAAAAAATTCAAAACAACCAAATAACAAAGCCAGTTCGACTGAAAATTATTTGGAGATCGTGAGATGCGGTCTGGTGTGATGTAGGTTTAGAAAAATATTTTCTTTATCGTTCCGACGTTTCGATCGTTGTTGAGATCATCTTCAGGGCTGGGATTTACACAACATTGCTTAAATTGTACAAATACATGTATGATNTAATTAGTTGTAATATATTAATTGGTCAAGCGGACCACGAAATTAGTGAATTTAATGTTTATAAACTTCAATTAATTAACGTTTTTAGTTGAGATAAAAAAGTCAAGTGACTCGAGCAGGATTCGAACCCACGATCTTCGGCTCGATACGCCGCTGCTCTACCTTACCCCCACCTTTTGAATTTTCCCTCCTTTTTGCCATTTTTCAAATGTCGTGTAATCTATTTGATTCTCGGCGACAAATGAAATGGCCACGGAGAGCTTTAGTTAACGT